TTGAGGCCTGAAAATAAGCTCCTTTTAAAAAAGCAGTACCCCATTAACCTCGTTTGGCATCAATTGCATTAGTTTAAACATTACCAAAATGTGAAAAAAAACTGAGAGTCCAAGAGAATTTATAAAGTATAAAGAGATCTGGAATATCATTGAGTCAGATGAACAGCACATACTTATCAATCCAATTCCTCCCGCCACACACACCCCCACCCCACCCCCAACACACAAACACACACATTCTCTCTCCTCTCCTTAACGGTGAAGCTTCTCCCTGTGGTTCAGTTAACATTCGTTACCACCCCACTAAATGTCCAAGCAACACACTTTTCAATAGGGGAATCACTAGAAAGTGATAGGGCGGAGGAACCCTTGCAGCTGTGACTCTATAACTCCAGACACATAAACATACATTTTAGTGAACCTTTTTATATATGAGATCATGTAAATCAACACTGACCAAGGATTAAAAATTGGATTATTTCAACCAGAAATCTTTAAAGTACAATAGGATCTCGAAGCAACATCATCAACAAACAAGGTCTGAATTGGTTTTCTTAAAAAATTAAGCCAAGCATTTTTAAAAGGCTTCGATTTCAATTTTCAATTATATTTTTTATTGACGTACAACGTTTTTTAATTCACACACACACACATGTCCATCCATCACCATCAGGAGTATTGGTTGGGAGGGCAGCGTGAGCCCAGGAGTGTGACAGATTAATTAACACAAACAATTAAAACAACAAGATCAGTGAAGCATCTAAACTTAATGACCATCTATTGATGTTAATTCTACTCCCTCATGCTGGGGTTTTGCCACATGACAAACCGCTGAGAAGAGCAATCTCATTAGAATGGAATACTATTATAATAATGGAACATGAAGATTGCTGTCATTGGCAACTGAATAATAATAATAATAATCCTTGCATTTGATATAGCGCTTTTCACGTCGGGAGGACGTCCCAAAGCGCTTCACAGAACACACTGTAAAGTGAATTGACTGTATATTTGTGGGCGAACGCGGCAGCCAATTGCACACAGCAGTATCCCACAAACAGTCGTAGATTGAAAATGACCAATTTATTATTGTTTTTGGTTTTGGAGGGATTATTATTAGGCTCTGTGTGGAGTAAGGAAACTTGCCCAAGGTTTCGCCCTCTGCCTGGAATTGAACTCAGGTCTCTCACTTGCAAAGCGAGTGCTCTAACCACTGAGCTACTGAAGTCAGAATCTGATGCTGCTTTCAGTGAGGTTAAGCTACAGTTAAACCTAAGGAGGTAAAGCAAATAATAATAATAATCCTTGCATTTGAGATAGCGCCTTATCACATCTTCGAGACGCCTCAAAACGATTCATAGAATGCACTGTAAAGTGAATTGACTGCATATTTTGCAGGAGATCTAATGTTGCTCCAGGGAATCTGATGTCAGAAAGGGTTTCTTTACAGAAACATTCAGATCGAAAAGGCTTTTCATTGTAAAAGAGCCGCTGAAAAGTCAGCCTTGTTCAAAAGAGGACACATAGTGAAGCAAAATAACTTAAAACAGTATGTGTTACTTGCATGAAATCTGCCAGTTTATCGGTCTTCTAACAAACTGCAAATCCTGTTTGTATTTTCTTCTTGAAGTTGTGCCAAACCACACCACTTCAAGATGACAATGTCCCTTTTCCACAGCAAATTAAATTAGGAGAGAAAAAAATACCAACACTACAAAACTCAATTACACGCCACTAGTTGCCCGTTGTTAAAATAGGCTCATTTATATTCCGTTACCAGGCAGCAATCAAAATGTGCATATCACTATATTTCAAGCAACAACTAATTTACAAAGGAATCAACTTGCATTGAACATCTGAAACCACTTTGTGAAGATGGGGGTCGATCATGGCCGGGTGGGGGGGCAGAGGGTAGAGGAAGGGAAGAGAGGGCAAAGAGAAAAGGAGGAAGAGGAGGGAATCTAACTGTCCCTTCTAGAAGACATGGGTTTTAAAGAGAGATAGAGGGAATGAGACAGAGAGAATTAGGAAGCGAGTTCCTGTAGGTAGAGGCACAGCAGTTACACAGCACCAACTGTGGAGCGGAGGCAACAAAGGAAAAGAGGCAAAGAACCTCCAGATTTCACATGAAGTCGTGCACACGAGACGCCCACACAGCACACAGGGAAGTGACATTGCGGCAGCCCATTGCGCTTTGCACTCCATTATAAACCGACGTTGAGAATTTTGGTCTTGAAACAATGGGTTATAAATGGGGATCTACTGTAGCTTGCAAGCTAAATGCAACAGTACTGCAACAACCCGGAGATAGGATTTTGCTCCAGATACCTCTTGCTGTGAACCGCACCACGAATTCAAAAATCCCATTTTAAAATCGACTTCAGCAATGTCAGGCCTTCATCTGCCCTTCAGTATGGTTGGAGACAGATGAATGGATTTCTACACAATCCTTTTATCAGTTAGCAAATTCAAATGGGAAATCAGAAAATCCATGTTGTAATATTTTCAAGAAGTCATTCTGCACATTAAATGCAGCAACTGAACGCAGATTAGAGTTAATTATAAAAGGTTACTCAGATGGAACATTGCATTCAAAGATCAATGTTCTGGTTTTGGATCATGAACTTCTTTTTAGCTTCAACAAATATGATAGATTTAACCCTGTACTCAGCTCTGCTTAATGCCTTTTTTTGTGGCATTTTATTGATAAAAGCAGCTAATCGCTCCTGTTGAGTAGTTAGTCTATTACGGAACATGATTTGAAAAATGACAGGGCTTATCTTCCACTAGACGTACTGAGGACTAACCTAACATCAGTTTGCGACAAACAATGGCAGTAAGTTCCCATTAATGCTCGGAAACGGTCACAAAAATTGTCATAAAGCATCTCAATTAAAAATATCCCTGCAATAAATATTTCTGCGATTAATATTTCACAAAGTGCATGTAACAAATGCGCAGACTGGGATCAAGTTAACAGTAATCTCCAATCATGTTCATTATTCTACCGTCCACATAATAACATCATACAGACCAGCTCTAAATAAGAGGACACAGGTTCAGTGCTGAGAAGGGTAAGTTTAGGATGGACACAAGGAAGTATTCCTGAATACAGAGGGTAATTAACAGCTGGAGCAGGTCACCAGGAAGAGTGGTGGAGAGCAGAAAAGCTCAATTCTGTAATGGGATAGATAGGTTGGGTATTCTGGAAGGATGCAGAAGAATAAATGAGCTAAAGGGTCCTCTAAGTCTGATAGCACTAATCAATGCTCACATATTAGCTAATTGAAGGAATATTTACTTTGAATTGGTTTTCCTCACTTCCTGATGTTTTGTGCCGATACATTTTTATTAAACATTGAGAATAAAAAAAACCACAAGCATTGGTAAGTGGAATATATTAGAGGTAGTAAGAAGCTTTCCTTTTGCAAATGTATTACAAATGAATAAGACAACCGAGAGGGAACACAAAGGGACAAACAATCAACATGAAAATACATCAGCCGCAGGAATCCGTCACATATATATCAGAAACTGGAGTTTCTTTTTCATATAAAGCAACTGCAAGTTAAGCAAAATATAATCCCAAACATTGCCAGGCACCCGCCTGCCAGGAATGGAAACTCCAACAAGAATGTAGATTTCTTTGGAACCACTGACTTAATTCCACTTCAAGATGAAAATCAGTCCATCTTCAGGCTATATGGTGTCCATTCCATTAGTGCAAACAGCTGTCAAGAAATGCAGGAGAACTTCAAAGTTGCTCTCTAAAAAAATCCAGGTTTTAGTGGGAGGTTTAAGAATGCAGACAGGAAAGCAGAAGTCTCAAATAAATTGGAGAAAATATCTAGATTTAAAACCCAAGAATTTGTGAGTTGTGCATTACAATATTATAAGAACCAAACAGGCAAGCTGCTAACATTTTGTTCAGCCGATTGTCTTCGATTTGGCTTTTTATCTGACCAGCGAGGAAAATTAACACAAAGATGCTGCCTCCATGTACGCTGAATGTAAATGAAACCTAAAGCCCTTCATCAGATTAGCAAGGACAATTAAGTCACCGACTCTGTCCAGTGGCATACTCATGTTTACAAGAGCCATGGGAATCCAGGACTGACCAAACCCAGAATGTTCTTGAGACCCACAAGTGTGCAAAACCATTTGTCCACCTTTGAAGCAGTAAAGTCACAATGTGGCCTGGGAATGATGACAAATGACCAAAAACAAACAAGGATGGAGGACAGCAGCTGTGATCAAGGCAAACAACAGGACTATCTGTTACAATTAAGTTTACCCACTGGTCAGTTTATAACCAGGAATAAAAACAAGTCCCTAGTAAGTGAATTCTCTTGCAACCAAGTCAGCACTGTGTGATCACTCACAAAGACTTAAAAAGTTTTAAGAAATACAACATCTGTTGGAATTACCTACAAATGCACTGAAGCAACTGTTATTAAACTAAGATATATCACTGAAAACTTCTAAATATCTGGCCAGACAATCGATTTCGAAACTAAATTCAAAAGCAGAAATGCACATAGCCACCTCTCCACCAACTCTGACTCAATCCGTCAGCCACCTGTTAACACACTCCCTACCTGGCTTGGGAAGAAGTTCCGCCTGGATCTAGATTCATTCCATTTATGTAGTTGTGACCTCCAGAATTTGGTAAATTGTTGAATTCGGCGTCAACTTTGAAGCTGGTTTTCTTGAAAGAACTTCCAGAGTTTCAAAATTAAGGCTGCATTTAAGAATTTGTCAATTTCTGGAAAGTGCTACATAAATTGAGTAAATCTAGAACGAAGTGGAATTTCTCTCCCAACAGCGTAGTGAACTGCAGAGATCATGGGGTGAAATTTGCAATGTTCCTTGTGATAGTTCTGAAATATTGCAAATTTCATCCCCATATCCAATTAAAAGCACGAACAACGAGTTTCTCTTTTCCAAACCATAGCGAGAAAGTCTGTGTAATCAAAATGCTGCTGAAAACCATTTCCTACCTTCACAATATGCTGAGTCGCCCTGGACAGGAACAAAGCCATTCTTGCAGACGCAGATAGCTTTTGTGTTGAGATTCCAGCAAGCTGAGTTCTCACCGCATCGGTGTCCTTCCGCACAGAAGTCATGACCTGTGGTGTAAACATAGTTAATACTGGGCATCATTTATCCGAAGAACAGTAAGCACTGTAAGTAAGTATGCACTGCAAATCACAATGAATAGATTCTAAGCAAGAATACAATTGGCAAAACTGCATATTGGAAACTACCACTGAGTTGAGGTTTTAGAATGGAAGTCCTGGCTGACAATGTACTTTATTGTTACAGGTTTAATACAATCTATCAGGAAGATGAAATGCACCAAATACATACCGTGTTCATCATAACAAAGAAATATCCTTTTTGATAATGCTCTTCTATTTACCAGAACAGGCTGTAAAGGTTGAGGCTTTTTTTATATTGTAAATTTTCCTTCTACTGTTTGACTTGGATCATGATACTCAATGTTTGTCCACCTACTAGGAAGTTCTTAATAACAATAGCCCTTGCATTTGATATAGTTATGTCATTTAGAATGTCAAAGCGCTTCACAAAATACACTGTAAAGTGAACTGACTGTGTATTTTGTGGGCGAAATGAGGCAGCCAATTGCGCACAGCATTGTTCCAATATACATTGTAGAAAAAATGTAGAAACCAAGACGGCAGCAAGTTTAATCTACTTTTACTAGCGTGGAGCCTGATAAAAGGGGCGGCTGGCTCTGTATGTATTATTTAAGTTAAATGAAGCAGAGTACATCTGAATGGACACCAACTCAATATGGAACTCTTGCTGTACATCCGCACTTTGCTTCTGAAATAAACCGCATTGCTTTGTGTGCCACTTGTGTTCTCATTCCAATGAAAGTTGGAGATGGGTTTGCGGAAGTTGAAACATAGAATGGAAACATTCAATTATGGACTGTGGAGAATATTACTTTATGCAAGGACTCTGATCTAAACAAACCAAATAACTCATTTTACGTGTTCATAAATAGATTGAACGGGCCTGGCTCAAAGCCTCAGAGATAATAATAGCAAGCAAAGCAATTTTAAACATAACCCTTTGGGTATTTTAATAGCATTTCTGCACTAGAATTAAATACAAAAAGATTGCAATTTTAGACATTTATTCCAATGATCTAAATGAAAGTGAGTAAATTAGCTATCCTGCTAGCGGAGGTATTTTATATGCCAATCAATGGATAAGTCTCTGAACACCAGTTGGATTTAATCAAAAGCAAAAGCAAAGCTAATTCATTGATTATATGTTGCCTGTGAAAAGATGCTTGAAATTGCAGAATTCAAATGTTGAAATTTTGCGAAGTATCATCTCAAATTTAACTTTTCACAGTTCAGCATTAAATTCACACACATTCAGAAATCCCATGTAAATGCAGATTAATCATCCCAGTTACCTCGGTGAACTGCAACAGGAAGCTATTCAAAATGTAGGCGGCTCTCTCTACCTATTATTCACACAGGAGTTTCCACAGGGAGAAGGTTTACTAATAATAAAGTTTGTGTTATCCAACAGAGGGCAAGGTCCGGAAACAGACAGAGATGTGCTAATGAGCATTGAGAGCACATAGAAGCTTAGAGTCATTGAACGCCTTCTTGTGAAAATAACAATTGGTACCAGCCGTGGAAGGAGAGAACGTAATTCAGATTGTCTCGCCTCGTTTGTATGACTTTGTAACGTCTTACAATACAAATTTACATTTATATTGCGCCTTTCACATCAAGACGTCTTCCCAGAACGCTAGACACTGCTGGCCTGATACCCGAGTTGAGTGGTGAAGGGAGTGGGAGGTGAAAGCACTGTCAAAGAGGTAAATCTTGAGACACGGAGCTTGAAATTCCTTAAACCAGGATTTTCTTGGTGTTTTATCCAAACGCAATATTCTCACTCGACTGCAGAGTGACGTAATGGTTCAATATCGTCATTGAGAAACACTGGACTAACTCTTCAGCATGCTGACCAAATTCACTGTATCCTGAATAAAAACGCAAGTAGCTGCATCTCAAACATGTACCCTAAGACTCGAACCATCAAACGAGTTCCATCATCTCTTTGTGTCTGATCCCATAGTGCTGACTTGGTTTGCAAGAGAATTCATTTTTCAAGGATTTTTTCCCCCCAATGTGCACCATTTAAAGATATTAGTATTTAAAGTTACTTAAATCCAAAACACATATGCAGAGAATCAGCTAACAGCCAGCCTCCAGTCCAAAAAACATTTCCATCCAGTACACAATTGTCAAGGCTAAATGAATTGGGGACACGACAAAGATAACTGGCACGGACATCTGCCACAATATTCTTGGCATTATACATCACTTGTACATTCACAGAATAGAGCCCTTTCATGTTATTGATATTCTCAGCATAGATGGTTAGATACGCAAGTACAGTCTAGCAAAGCAAGACATTGAGGTAGGGAAGCAGTCACTCTTTGGTTTGCAGTTGCAAGGACATTGTATCCTGCACACAAAAAGCAGTGATTGAGAACTAACTTTATCTATCTGTGATTGAATGACCTGGGAATATAAGGCACCAACAAGCCACAATTGGTGAGAGTCTCTCAAACCCTCTTAACTCATCGTCTAGCATTTCTATTTCAAAACTAATTCTCCAAGACCAGCATTTTATCAAATCAATCAATAAAACTAATAATCTGTAAATCCTGAGGGGTGTATTTTCCTGAATTGCAGTTGTATAGTTTTATTAGTAATCCACTAGAAAAAAAATCCATTCTGTCAGTTACTTCATGCTTTGCCTCATTCTGTACTCCACTGTGGAGTGGAGTGAACAATGGTTACAGCAAACAAGGGATTTGGAACCTATTCTGTGGGATTAGGATAATCTGTGACAAATGTACTAATTTATGCAAATACACAAATAACAAAATGAGTGCTAAATTTATCTTTGAATAGTCGTGATTTTTTTTGTAACATACAAATACTTATATACCTCTAACAAACGTTGGCAAAGCAACATATAAAATGCCATTTTCCAGGTTTGGTGTGGTGGCAGCTTTAGTATACAGACAAGATTCTAGCAAATAAACAAGCGTAATGATCTGGAAGTGAATCATTTGACTTTAAAGCGAGACTCAAGTGCTTCCATGTATAGAAAGCAAGCTAAATATCTGGGGGAAAAAAATAGGGCAGACAAAAAGTGGCACACTGACCAATGCATAAAGAACGCTATAGCTATTTTAATTGGAAAGCATAGAGGGAGAAGGAGGGTAGCATACTGGATTGTAATTGACTACTGATCTACAAAATCTGGCATCTCTTTGCATTTAAAGTCATACAGAATTCATTAGCACTGTCAGTATAAAGTACACTTTGCAATTGGTGCAAATCTCATGTTGTGAATTTACATAAACAAATGTTCATATAGCAAACAACACAATTATTGTAAAACTGTCTTCAGCAAACCACATCGTATATCAGGATGCATATCCAGCCAATTCAGTAGAAGCTGAAAACAATTATTCAACTGTTATGTCACGACTGTGTGTGGGACACTGCTGTGCGCAATTGGCTGCCGCGTTTCGCCCATAAAATATACAGTCAATTCACTTTGCAGTATATTCTGTGAAGCGCTTTGAGACGTCTCGAAGACGTGATAAGGCGCTATATCAAATGCAAGGATTATTAATATTATTATTATGTGGAAACACTGGTGAGGCTACATTTGGAATAGTATAAGCAACCTTGGGCATTCTGCATTCAAAATTTTACAAAATATTGGTGAACATGCACAGAGAGTGACAAGGATGATTCTGGGACCAACAGGAGAATTGAACTAATTTGTATTGGAGAGTTGACTGGGAAAGGAGATAGGATTTGCTTATCAGAATGCTGAGAAGCATAAATGATATATGTTTAAGCACACGGTTTGACTTAGACTGTGTGCAAAAATAGAGAGCACAGACTTCAAGTTTACATGCCTCAAAACAAGGTGGGAGAGAAGACCTTCCGCTCAACAAAGGAGCAGATATATGCACAGTGCAATTACCAGTCAATTCACTCCATAAATAAAACAAATATCTGGTGAAGAACAGTAGTACATGCTCTGTGGATCAAATAGCCGTCTCTTATTCCAGTATTTTTTTAAAACGGGGGGTGGGAGGGGGGTGTTCTGGAAGGAGAAAGATTAACAAAATTATTCTGTGCCTTTTAAGACTCCTGTTTCTAATAAGCAAGAACTACTTTATCTTTCCAGTAGTCATTGCTGGAAGTATACAGAGTACAGGATTAAAGGGTCCAAGTGCAGATCACTTGGAAAATCCGAAAGAAAGATATTGAAATATTTATTTACAAGCAAAACAGCTCATATTTATCCAAACTCCCATTGCTTTCATTATAACATGTTGCGGCGAATGGCTTGTTCCTGCGTTGCAGGTGCTATGAAAGTATTCAAATGATTGGTGCGTGCAGTGGGGGTGGTGGAGGAGTGGGAAGTAACGCGTGCAACACAAACTTCCTTATAAGCAGAACTTATTTCCAAGTGAAATGGACAATACCGAACAGTATTCGTCGGGAGCTACACAGAGAAAAGTTATTATGCTGTCGGCATACTGCTGCAGCTGGAGACATTTCAAATCTCGTCAAAATAGCTGGTTTGCAATATATTTACATTTTTAAACAGTTCCGAACGAGTGACTGGACTGTGAAGTGCGAACATTTCCTTACCCCGGCACACATTGCAGCAGCGGCTCTCGGGCTGAAGCTGTTGGCTCGGCGGGCAGTTCAGAGCCGGGCAGGCCTCGTGAACAATGACCATCGTACGGTTCTGTCGAGCATCAATTCAGTCATCATTAAAACCAAATACCCTCTCGTGTCAAGAAAACAAGAATATCATGCATTTTGAAATCTGCAATATGCCACATTAAATAAAAATCCTCGCTGAATTTAAAGTAAGAAATTCTAAGTACCCGAATACAAATATAAAAAAAGTTCTAGTATCTCAAACTAAACCCTTGCAATACAATTAACTGCTAAACTGGAGCTTGCTGCAAAAGTAAACCAATCTCAACTGAAACCCTTGAAGGTCCTGCTCACCTTCTTCAACTGGTTCCCTGTCACCTGAGAAGGTGGATTAATCCAGACTCTCAGCTCACGGTGAAAAATTACTGTGAACTGGCCAGCTCCACAGTCTCAGCGCTAGAAACCAACAGCATCAGCACTTGAGACAACCAATGGTCAGAAACATTAGTGCTGAAGACTGGTGAGGTTGTAGATGTTACTTCAGGATCTTGTTAAACACAGTGAGCATCTAATAACGATCCATTCCTGTGCTGATAAATGTAGTCACTTTAACGTTTAGCTTTCACAAGGCTATTGGTAATGGTGTCAAATCTGCAATGGACAATTCAGATGCTTTGATCAATGTTGGAGTCATAGATCACCATGCACAAAGAGCAGGAGCAGCAAACAATGAAACTCAAACTTTCCACTCTGCTGCTGCTCAATTTGAGAACCGGAGAAAGAAAGTTTAAATTGTAATTCGATAATTTTCCAGAAATACCTTATGAGCTATAGCTATTCAGACACTTCTGAGGGATATCGAAACACTTATCAATATAATATGCAATTTAATTACCACAGGTGTTTATCACAATAAGTTTATGAAATGCCACACGCTTTATGAATATATAGATTATACAGACACACAAAACATTTGTACCAGTGCCAACCATCAGCAACAGTGCGTATGGAAACACAAAAACCTTGAGAAAGGTTGAAAGCAATTTACAGCATTTCCAAGTTGAATTTGTCTGGCTTAAGCTGTTTTCCAATTGTGATCAATCAGCTTCCCACAATGGTCTCCAGCAGTTGCATCCTGCTAAAAACTATTGCATTTAGATTTTTAAAACTGTTCTCCGTTTCAATTAATGCATTGCCTAAATTGATGATGGAAGCAACACGGAATGTTGAGAAATAAAAGGAGCCATTTTATACTTACTCTGCACTCCCGGCAGTTTGATTTCAATGCACGCTGCCCTTCAGCAAGCTTCTGCCCCCCATAGAGACATATAGCTGCAGGAACAAATGCAATAGATTCCAATTATACGTAGAATAAGTCAGGGTGGAAGAAGTTGTCGACATTACCATCTTACAAACAAGAATGGATTCACAGATCCCGAATACACAGTCAACTGTAGCAGTGTAACTGCAGTTACAAGATAGTGCAATATGAGACTGCAATACAAAGAAAATCATAATATTCGAGAGTATTCTTGTAGGACTTCATTTAGGAAACAATGGCTCCCGTTTAAATTTCAATGCAACCCGAGCACTTTACTGGCACAATTCATTGACCCGTGCTGTTCACTGGCAAACTTAGGCTTAAAATCATATTGGAAAGCTGGCATGTCTAACATGCCAAGCTCAGATACACTAGCAACCACAGCACAGAGAGGTCCTTAGTTGACAGGAAGAAGGAAAGTGGAAAGATTTCTGATTCTCTAGTCATTTCTTCAGCACTGCCCAGTGGATGTTCAAAAGATTCCATCACTTGAGACCACAAACAAGTCACAGTCAATAACAGTACATTCCCGTTATGTGGAGGCTAGGCCTTGAACTCTCAGCTGGTATCTGAAAATGGTCAATTTAAGAATGACTGCACAGGTTGGAGTATAACATCTAAAAGGTGGCTGGTGACAGCAACTCCAGAAGCAGCAAAGTTAACAAGGTGTCAGTAGCACCTGTGAGAGCAACACATACCACCTAAACAAGTGGCTCCTCAGGAAAGTCAAAGGTATGGGTACCTCAAACAGCACCATTGCCTCCTTCCACCGCACCCCACCCCCCACCCACCATTAAGCAGCTACACCTGAGAAACGTATCTATTCATTCTCAGGTATATATTAAAAAAAATTGGTTACTTCAATCGACGACTGTTTGTGGGGCACTGCTGTGCACAATTGACTGCAGCGTTTCATCTACAAAATATACAGTCAATTCACTTTACAGTATATTCTGTGAAGCGCTTGAGACATCTCAAAAATGGGATAAGGCGCTATATCAAAATGCAAGGATTATTATTATTCTTTACCACTCCCCTGGCCGAGACCAGCCACCAGTAGACTGAGCAGCTTAACCTGCGCCTACAGAGCAGCAACGCCATCCTGGACACCTCTACCACCTCTTCCCTGATTCTGAGGAAGGAAGGCTACACCTCGTGTCCACAAGGGTGAACAAATGCAAACTGAAACTTTACAAGCCACCCTGCAGTGTATTCCCCAACTCTGAGACACGGGGAGCCAGAACTCAGGTCCACTTCTTGAAGTGAATCCACAATATAAATTTGGCTATAATTCATATCTAATTTAGCAACATATCCAAGATATGCTCTAAGAGGTAGGAATTCAAACATCTTTGCAGCTACAGCTGGGCAAACACTTTAATGAGTCTCACACATCATTACAATTACACAACAGGGAGTCCTAATACAGTTACGATTACTGTCCCATTCACACCTCAACCTGGAGCACGGAAACGGACAGATGTTTGCAATAATTTTGCACTTAGAATTAGAGAAAGACATAAGTGAGAAATCAGCACTTATGCATTAGCTCTTTATTTGCATATAAACATTTGCATGTATAAGATTCTATGTACACACACACACACCAGGTTGCATACAAATGGAAAGGGGGGAAAATGCACAACAAAACAAAAACATAAAAAAACCTCACATAAAACAATCACCAACTAATATTCCTTTGGTTTAGATTCTGCAAATAATTTTTCTAAACCTAGCAATTTAAGGCGCAGGAACAGGGCTGTCCACAGTATATTTAACTTTAGATATTGGAATACGTGAAGCAAACTTGTAGCACTGTAGTGTTATAATATGATAATAATAATAATCCTTGCATTTAATACACTGCTTTATCATGTCTTTGAGACGTCTCAAAGGGCTTCACAGAATATACTGTAAAGTGAATTGACTGCATATTTTGTGGGCGAAACGCGGCAGCCAATTGCGCAAAGCAGTGTCCCACAAACAGTCATGGATTGAAATGACCAATTTATTATTATTTTTTTGAAGAAAATATTAACCACGGAAAATTGATCCACCAATCGATTAACAACTGGGTTCCTACTTACTGCTTGGTAAACAGAGGCGTGTGGAGTAAGGAAACTTGCCCAACATTTCGCCCTCTCAGGAATCGAACCCAGGTCTCTCACTTGTGAGGTGAGTGCTCTATCCACTGAGCTACAGACACCATGTTCTACTCTGGTTACAGAAAACCAATGATGTCATTTCTGAAGTCATGGGATTCAATGGTACAATTTCCTGTAGATTCTGAGGTTTAGAAGTATGTTAGTAAATGCAGGTTGTCACAGTTGTGGTCACATTTTATAAATAGGACACGCATGGAATATCAAGACCTAAAGTCTTAAATTAACCAGCTAATTGCAGTTCTGACGAAGGGTCGTGGACCCTAAACATTGACTCACTTTCCTTTCTCCATAGATGCTGCCTGACCTGCTGAGTTTTCCCAGCTCTCACTGTTTTGGTTTCAGATTCCAGCATCTGCAGTATTTTGTGTTTTTTTGCAGAACTTTATATATTTTATAAAAGGTTTAGTGGAAACAAGGATAAAAGTTTTCTCGAGAACATGTAACATTCCACTGAGTTTTATGGTGCATTTATTGAATAGTCCGGCTAGCAAGACTAACCAGGTGACAACACTGCAAGACAAATACAGCTGCAATATAAATATTTCAACCATTTCACAGGATTTACTGTAAAGTGTAGTGACTGTATTAAAGTGTTGATAAATTTAAACACACGAATCAACTCTTATTAGCTACTTTATGAATGTTAGATCCACTCGTGTAGGCTACGGCCATGAGCTGTGAACTGCTTTATATTGATGTACAATTCTGCAAGGCCTATCGTGTGCTGTGATGCAGAATACAATGAGCCATTTATTTTATCAGGGTATTGACACCTCTGGGATTGCAAGCTACTATGGGCCAATGCTGTGCACAGAAGAGAGCCACCCACTTTACACAGAAATCATGAAATCCAACACTGAAAGAGCTGTTCCTGTGTGTAGTTGAAAGAATATAGGACAGGACCCATGGTATACATAATCTCGCCCCTCAATGCGTTTCTTGAAAGTTACCAGGACAGCTCACTAAGGGGAAGGTAATTATATTTACGAGGGTTCTTGTCATGTCTCGGTCTCCAGTCCAGCACTTCACTACAGTACAATATTATTGGTCAAGGGCCTGGTAAAATAACCTTGCGTCAAATGTGAGGAAGGATTAAAACAACGGTGGTTGTGGTGCTGAACGATTTACATTATACTCGACTAACTGAGAAAGCATAACAAATTGAGATGTTCTCAAAACCTGCTTGTATTAAATGCATGAAGTTGTACAAAATGTAGCCCTTCAGGTACAAAGGCAGAGAAAAAAAATCAGCATTGTGTGAATTTATAATGACATGTAAAGTACATTTTAACATCTGAAACAAGGATGTTCAATGCTCATAACCGTCTCAAAGTCTGCTATTACCTTGGATAATAAATCCGTGTCTGGAGCATTTAGCCAGCTTTCTCAATGAATGTCTTTAGTCCTTATTCAACCAAAATTAATATGTTCTCTGTTCATCGTATACCACCCGCATCTAACATTATTCACTACCAAAAATCTGGATGTTCTTAAGGCAAAGCTGTACAGTGGTAAAGTCGAAACACAGTTCCTGGCTGTATTTTCTTCACATCCATATGTGGGTCAAATCTATTCATATGCTTATGAGTTTAATTCTTGGAATTACCATCTACGCAAGTTGTAGACTCTTCACCATTGATTAAAAATGCAATCTGAGGAATAGGAATGAAAAATCTAGCCCTAATCTAAAATCACATTGAAATTCCATTCAAGTAAAGCACTTTAGGCTTCAAACAAGCTTTCCATAATAATGCATTATATCCCAGACTCTAACAAACACAAAGCACTTCGGTTTAAAAACAAGATTGATAAAATCCCTTGAAAATGGCATCTTATTGGTACATCAACATGATGACGATAGATTTCAGGCACAGGAACCTAACATCACAAGTTCCCAAACTCACCAACTCTATTTCTGGAAAGTGTTAGTGGAGGCAAGACACTTGCCCTTGGGGAGAAGGGGAAAGCTATCTTCTGCTGTATTTCTCTGAAAGAATATGTTGCCTCTGCGTTCGATGTGTTGGATAGTGATGTGACTGTTCAGAGAGGCACTGCTTTTATTAAATGTGAGTTTTATGGACTCTAGCCAAAACTAGTGACTGCATTGGGAATGCAATCATTTGGACTCACAGGACTGGAAATGAGAAAATAGGGACAGATGATTATTCTTTTTCAGTGCGCAGACTTGACAACACACAGCCCACTGAATGCCCTTCACTTTAAATCATAAAATAAGCTTGCATTGTGTGCATTGATATCACAGTAGAAGATAACTTTTTGTACATTTCACCCATCAAATCTCATTCATCTATTTAAATTTACTGGTTTCGTTTTGCAGCTCCACCTTCAAAACATCTGTTAATTATGTGTTGGATTGTATTTACATCCATTACAGCTCAGAAACTACATGGTCATACATTTAGCGGGGAGCAGAAGACAATAGCTCCCCTCCATTTTCTTCACTGAAATTTCACAGCAATACCTCAGTTGATACAGCTGCTGTTGATGTCGTACACTCCAGTCAATCGACACAAGGTTAATAGTGACTTTCGCGTGAAAGTCTCTCTATTTGTTCAGTCTCTTTCATTCTTCACGCTACCTAATGAAAAACTGATGTGTTGCTGTGCAACAATGTCCAGCGAAAGTTATTTTTGTGCCCAGAAATCACACCAAAGATGGCACAAATAGAATCATGTGTTCAATCTGGACAAATCCTTTCGTAAATATTGTAATTATGCTTTGTGGATACAGGAAAAGCTCAAAAGATCACCTTAACTTTCTCAGCAGCATTCACTCTCGTCATTAATCATACAGTCCTCAAGTGTTACCTACAGTACTAGCACGAAGCCACGGAGCCTGGAGTTGGACTGTACTGGAAAACGACAACTTAGAACATACGAATAGGCCATTCAGCCCTCAAAGTTTATTCACCACTTTATTAGATGATGATAGATCTTTAAATCCCATTTCCCAAATACTCTTGCATCCCAAGTATCTGTCTCAGTTATATTAAAAAAAACTCAATAGATTCTGCCTGCTTGTTCCTCTCAGCTGGTATATTGTACAACTGGAACAGTGTCGAAAAATCAGGACAATGCAGCTCAAAAAAAGGAGAGAAGCAACAAGTGTTTCTCATGCACAGAGCTGGGACAGAACATTACTCAATGTTGCCACGTGGAGAAAAGCCAAGAAGCAGCATCTGGATATGAACATTCAAAGTAGGGAAGACTCAGGTGATTTATCTTAACGCAAATCAGAAACGGGTCTGGCAGCCTTGCAGTTCATTGTTCATGTAACCATTCTTCATACGTGGATCAAAACAGTGAGAGAGACGAGCAGAAAGTACAAGAGTAGGGAAGTCTTGCTGCAACTGGACAGGGCCTTGGTGAGACCGCACCTACAGTATTGTGTGCAGTTTTGGTCTCCTTATTTAAAAAAGGACATACTTGCCCTAGAGGGGGTGCAGCGTAGATTCACTCGGTTAGTTCCTGGGATGATGGGACTGACCTGTGAGGATAGGCTGAATAAACTAGGGCTGTATTATCTAGAGTACAGAAGAATTAGGGGAGATTTTATTGAAACATAAGATTCTTAAAGGGCTGGATAAAGTCAACACTGAGGGTCTGTTTCCCCTGGTAGGAGAATCTATAACCAGGGGTCACAGTCTTAAAATTAAGGGTCAGCCTTTTAGAACAGAGTTGAGGAAACATTTCTTCACTCAGAGGGCAGTGAATTTATGGAATTCACTACCCCAGAAGGCTGTAGATGCTCAGTCCTTGAACATCTTCAAGGCTGAGACTGATAGATTTTTAAAAAATAGAGGGATTAGGGGCTATGGGGATAGGGCAGGTAATTAGAGTTAGGTCTGAAGATCAGACATTATCTTATCGAATGGCGGGGCAGGCTCGAGGGGCCGAATGGCCTATTCCTGCTCCTAATTCTTCTTATGTTTTTCTAAAGATGCAATCCTTTTGATAACGTGAAGACACAGTGTCTCACAGAGGGCAAAAATCAAAGCCTGTGCAACTATTGTATTGCATTTTGTCAGGACTGTGCTTGGTTAGGATGAGAGACTCAGAACAAAGAGTGAGAAGGAGAGAGAACAGGGCAATAGGGAACAAGGAAAGCAAGTTTATTGAGAGAGAGATAAGAAGAGAGCAAAGAGAAATCAATCACAGTTTTCTTTTTTAAAAAAGTGTAATCATGAAAATCTTTCCAGGTATTGTAATGAAGAACCATCTGTTAAAGCACCTTGAAATTACAAATTGGGATCAGAATGCACACTTGTTTACTTACGCCTACATTCTTTGCAGCATTTGCCTTCTGTAAACACTGGTCGGAAATCTGTCGGGCAGGATTGAGGAGGACACGCAAGGCGTTTGCACTCAACAACTCCATTCTGGAGAAGAAAAAGAGAGGAATTAACGACTGATTCCATTTTTTTTGAAAAGATGATTTTCTTGAACTCCATTTATCTTGCATTGTATCTGCACACCCTCTGTGCTCACCGAATGAACGATTGTGGAATTAGTTTCCACCATAAAAACTCACGTAGCTTATTGAACAGAAGCAAAACAATCTTTCAGAAACTAACAAGGAATTGGAATGTGTGAAGTGTTTCAATGTATGATGCGTTCTCAAATTGATAGAGTTAAGAAAAAGAAATTGCATGTCCACACTATATATCAAAATAACCCAGAAATTATCATGCCCTAGCAACATAAATGGGTACAAACTGAGTATCCTGTATTCGCAGGAAAAACAGAAGGAAAGGTAGAAGTGGTCAAGCGAGTTCCCGGGTGATTGAGTGCTTTGGAGAGCATCCAACATCAACAATTACCTTGCAGGTACATTGTTTGCAATTTTCAACCCACGATTCCATATTGTGGCGCACCAAAGTGTTCACCTGACATGTTCTCTCACAGTAACAATTCTCCAGCTCACTCAGACGATTTTCTGCATAGTTTAGCTGCAACAGAAACATTGGTAATGAAATATCTGTCGGAATATCCATCCACTTTTAAAATGCCTCTGCTAAATTTCACAATCTCCACGCTGCCCCACTGCCCCGCACCCACCCCAAGAAAAAAAAATTGCCCGCTTGCATCAGGCACAGGTAAATTGGACAAAACCACACCAATTACGTGGCAATTGTGGGAAAAAATACAAGCCCCAGAGGCACCTTAGGCAAAGTACAAAGCTCCTCCAGGAAGTCCTGCTAAAGGATATCCTCCAACCAGCAACTTATCAACAGGAACCGCAACCTTTGTGTTTGCCATGTACAGCGCCGAAGCTTATTGTTATAATAATAATAATCCTTAATAATAATCCTTGCATTTGATATAGCGCTTTTCACGTCGGGAGGATGTCCCAAAGCGCTTCACAGAACACACTGTAAAGTGAATTGACTGTATATTTGTGGGCGAACGCGGCAGCCAATTGCGCACAGCAATGTCCCACAAACAGTCGTTGATTGAAAATGACCAATTTATTATTGTTTTTGGTTTTGGAGGGATTATTATTAGGCGTGTGGAGTAAGGAAACTTGCCCAAGGTTTCGCCCTGTCTGGAATTGAACTCAGGTCTCTCGCTTGCAAAGCGAGTGCTCTAACCACTGAGCTACAGGACTCCATTGTTGTCAGCAAGTAGACTGCCACAAACTGTTCCAAGACATGAGAAAGTTTGAAATGATTGAGAAGGAAAGCCCTCTTCAAATACTGAAGAGGGACTGGCTAGCCTGTTGCAGAGCTTGTACGATGAACCAAGTAACCTGACAAATTGATTTAAAGCTAATTTGTGACAAGAATAAAAGTCACAAATGACCTTTGAACAGCAACAAGGCACTCTGGATTGAGATGTTCAATCTGAACTGTTGCTGTCCAACAGAATGCCCATCAAGCCAGTTATTCAAAGTGTCAAAGCAAAAAATACAAGAAGCCCACATGGAGATTTGAACTTGCTTGGCAAAGTAAAACATTGTTCTATCCACCACTAAAAATACCCTGAAATTTTCATTTTTATTTATCCCCTTGAAAAGATGCTCAGTTGAAAGTTCAGGATTCTCAAAATCAGAACTGGAAGCATCATACACAGAGCTGGCTGATTTAAAGGGCTTATTGGATCTCAATTTAACACATTAGGGATTTACTGTAGTAAGATCTTATGATCATGATTCAGAGCTTCAACCAGAGAGAGAGAGATTGTTTGTTGAAAAGGCTAAATAAAACATTTAACTATACATAGAGTTGCAGCACCCTTTCTGAGCATTTGTTTTGAAATTTAAATGTATATGTCTTAACGTTTCTAGAACAAAGTAAAGCATGAGTAATCTAGACTCATTTCCCTAAACTTTCACTCAATTATTATTTCATGTGAGGTGGGAAAGCCACTTTCTCTAATGTGAAAGGCTATGCATGAGTAGTAAACACGACTGAAGCTCTAATGTCAGGTTATAGGTTTGAAATTACCATTAGCTGTGATGATTTTTTCATGACGAGTACTGTTAATTTTTCATCCCGTTTTGGGATAATAATAGAATCTGAATTAAAACAGGATTAGTTACAGAAAGTGGAAAGCCATGTGGGGAGGGTTGTATTTAGACCACACTACCTATGTGAAGACTGGAGCATGTGGATTGCTTCAGGGAGGTTTCTTACCAATACTCTTTGATACAAAAAGGTAATAGAGAAGTTCTTGCATTTTATGAAAGGATTCAATGGAATTAAACCATTATGCGATTGTTTCCTCATGATGGTAACTCCAAACAAAGGGGAATAGGAAGGGCGGAGGCTTATGTGGAGTATGAACACCAGCACAGACTAGTTGGATTGAAAGGCCTATTTATGTGCTGCAACACTCTGTAATTATATATAATTCTATGAATTGTGATATTTTCCCATGTAAAAGTAACTTATTTTGGATTGTGATAAATACACAACATAAAGGCAGCAATAAGACATATTTCTTGAGGCTGCATTGGCCATCTGTAATGTTAAGCTATATGGAGCACGACAAGAATGTTAATTTTACATTTTTCAGCAGTGATTACATTATTTAATCTTCACCATGAACTGCATCATTGTAAACATTGTATTGAAAAAAAACAAGAACCCCGAGTCCTGTTTCTAAATTTATTACTGCACAGCTAAAAAGTTCACTGTATTTCATAACAATTCACAATTGCATTTGCTATCCGAGAAAGTTGCATTTATTTACAGAGATTTGATTTGTGCCTTGGGACGTCCTCCTGACGTGAAAGGCGCTATACAAATGTTATGTTGTATTGTATTATCATTGACTTAATCTACCCTCAAAACTAATCTAACCTCAATGTTGCTTTCCAGAATAAAAGGTTGGTATTCAACCATAGGCTTCATTATACCTTTCATATTGAAAACTAAGTTGTGGTAATAATAAAATCTGAAATACATTAGCAAGCCCATTGAAAAACACTTAAGCCATTTATGTTGACTTCTGATTTACTTTATTGCATCATGTAAACAAAATAAAATGGACAGACTCGCTTTCTCAATTTTACTCAAGTTTAATTTTGCAAGCAATATTCCTCCATCATTGGAATGAATTACTTCAAAATATTGGCTGCTTAATATCTATCCAGCATTTGTTCTTGCTTAAACACAAAGTAAGATTCCTTCTTGATGTTCAAATATTGCAGAATGTGGCATTTGAATTATGTTTTAATGGCAATTACATGTTACTGCATTCATAGAACTACGTAAACTGGCTTATTCAACGGGAAGGCAATTTCATGAGCTAATAGTTCAGGAAGCCAAAGTTAATTCAATTTTAAAAACACCCACTATTCACAGTACGCATAATGCTTCGCCTCTGGTTCATCTTCACTGTGTGAAGTTACTTAACCATAGATGCACTAGGGCCCAAGAGACACATTACAAGTTCCCCGCCTTTGAATTCCAGGAATCAAAAAGGATCCATTTTCTTATCTTACAAAATTGTGGCTTTATGAACGTGTCACTTATATAACTCATGAAAGTCATTCTCAAATGCAATTTTTACAATTTCTGCTAATCAACATGATAAATTACAGGGCTAATACGGCGATTCATTATTGCATGATACAATAAGTATAATTACACTGCTCCTTTATCATTCTTGACCTTTACAAATGCATTTTCAACCTACGGGTATTATACGAAAGGAAAAGACACCTAATGCAATCTGCGTTAACGATTAAAATACATTAAAAAGGGGAGATTGTATCTCAAACTCACTTTTGTAGTCATTTTGGCAAGGAGCTCCTGCAGATCCATAATCCCTTGTACCAGATTCAGAAAGTCACTGCACGTTGGGCATGCTCGAAAAGGCAAAAATAAAGAAGGGATTGAAAGGGTAAGAATCGATCAAATACAATGCTTATGTCTGATCATGCAGATTCACAAGATATGCGTATTCAGATTATCTAACAGTTTCCATGGGGATAATCACAAGGTTTGCTTTTGCTGGTTGTTTTATAGAAGTCAGAGAAAAGTGACAACAGCAAAAAAAAAACACTAAACGTGCCACTCTTGCAAACTGGGTGATTTGTGATTTTCATGGCAATAATTTGCATTGAAATATCTGTGTATTAACTGCACAAAGAGCCAGAGTGCTGGCTGGCATTTGGCAATGCAGCAATGTTTCAGTTGGTAGCATCATCTCGGAACACAATTCAGGCAGAAATCATGGCTGCTGATAATTCCTGAGATGACTGAAGCAGCAATAGAATTAATGCGTAATAATAGCACAGGTTTAACCCAGTATTAATTACTTATTAACAGTTTATCAAATTAACTTCAACAAGTCCTGTTTTGTAACATAGCATTAAATAAGTGGGTTTTACATAATCTAACAGGTCACAGTTAATGATGTGTACAGTAATAAGGACAACATTGCAAGAAAATGTATGTGAGAAACATATTTAAAGAGATAAGCACACGTTTGTGCATTTTATATTCAGGCCAGCCACCCACCCAAGTCCAGTTAATTTTAAATGTTCTCAATATTGACTTCTGAAAATGCTAATTTTTAGCAACAAAAAAAAATCAAATATAAAAGCAGAGAAATAAATCAGGATGCCCACTCCTGATCGCAACCAATGATTCTTGCGGGAAACAGTATGGGCGAATACGAACAAGATTGAATTCATTTGTGATGCACAATACATAGCCAGCCAATATTCATCATCCAGGTACAAAATAGTTTCCAGCATTTGTGAACGATAATCTAGCATTGGTGAGCACCTACAAGAGAAAATATTGGGTGGTGGACAAAAGTGACAATTGTACTGTGAAACCAAGTTTTCAATGTGTATTTTTTAAATTAATAGATGGTTAACTTTCATTTTACAACGTATACGTTTACTTTAAAGGTTGCAGCTTGTTCCCCACCAATCTATGATGGATATATCCTGAATTGCTATTTTTAAACCAAATGTAAAATGTGTTATTTTGAGATTGTAAAACTATGCCTAATATCTGAGAAAGCAATCAAATTGAGATGGAGGTAGAGAATTTAATTCTCTGTCTATACCTTTAGGGTCATTATCATTCATTTCATTTTGTGAATTATAGAATGTTAAATGTTGGTTAACTTAATTAACTAATAATGCCTGTATTTCTGCAACGGATTTACAATTACATAAATTTGTTCGGTTCCGTATCAGAATTTTGCATTTTCCATCCAGCAACATTGATGAGATGCTTTTGCTCTACAATATGCCCATTTTATAGATGTTTAAAATGGGCAGAAATCCATTATGCCAGGAGGAATTGAGAATTCAAACAGTTCATTATTCAAAACCACAAATGGAAAAACAAACTACACCGACAGGTCTTCAACAAAAATTTACAGCATTCACTATATTTGAAATGGTTTGCATTTTTAAAAATAAATTTAAAAATGCAAACCATTTCACAAGCACCTTATGCTTCAGAATTCAACCTCAAACTATTAAAGTCAGAGTAAATAAAAGTAGGTTCTAAATAAATGCATAAAAAGCAATGCATAAGATTCCCACATAGCAAACAGCTTTCTACTTGCGCTCGAAAAGCATTCCTGATCCGAACATAGAATTGATCAGGTCCTCACATTCAATTATTTCATTTAAAATTTTCCCACTGCACCGTGAAAAGTCACGTAGAATAGTACATTTTAGATGGTGAATGACTGGTTTAGAATGTTTTACAGTGTTTGCATCAATTTAATGATTCCCTCAATGATTCATCAGACCACAACAGAAGGCACTGAAATTGGATAGTCCTAGCTGCAATTCATAGAACTAATTCAAGTGCGGCAATTTTTGGCAACCTAGTGTTTATCAACATTGAGCTGTTCAGATTTCTGAAAAATCTTCCAGATTTCATCTTTATTATCTGGCAAATTGCATGCTGCATTTGAATATATTATACATTCTTAAAAATACATTAACAATGAAATTGGTACAACATTAATATTTAAATTGGAAACACTGACATACTTATATTCGGCTAAAAAAAACTACTTCCAGACCTCAAAGAGATACAGCATCACCCGGTAGCATTAAGAGGCTAAGTGGACTTTCATCAGAAAGAATTTTGGTTAAGTACGCACTAACATATTTTAAAATCTTAGGTAATTTATCAAAGTCTGGTCTCAGTGGTTTCACTCTAACTATTTTGAAGGACACCTCATCCCAGGCGTACATTAAGGGTAGATTATTTAGGAGGCAGAAATCTTGAGGCTCACTCACAATTATGCATTCATCAATGCATTCACATTTGTAGGTCATTGTCAACCTTAACATACAGGTCTAAGTCCAGCCTCCCCCACCCCTAGGCCCAAGCGCAAACTTGCTACAGCCGAGATCAATCAACTTGCAATTGCGTCACATTCATACAATTGTAACAAGAGTGAATACCAGGTGTGTGCTTTTTTTTTCATGCCGAGCACAGCATCAAACCAGAGAGAGAGAAAAAAATAATCTATAGTAGATCAAGACCTTTAGGAAGGCCTGTGGTGAAGCGTTGGAAAGGACCTTCTTGGGGACATGGAGAGAGGCTCTCCACATAATGCACTTGGCCAGAGGTAACCTTCCACATTTTGTATATACCGTGGCCAAGCTTAAGATAACAGTATGGAAGGTCAAAAAGGAATTAAACTTGGTAAACCGTGTGCTAAGGCGTTTGATGAATATACTGCTTTCAATGGATGTTGTCCGTGCGACTGTCTGCTATGGAACCTAGACTGAACGCTGTAGCAAGCAACCTGTAAAAGGCTTATCGCGATTCCTACAGTCTGCAATTATGTATTCCTTCCACAAATGTGACCCTTTCAGAAGGAAATTCAACTTCCTGCCTAACTCCTAAGTAATAATTCATGTGACAAAACTGCAGTGGCTGCTAAATGCTACAAGAATAGTGTTCAATAAGTTTTGCAAAAGTGCTCCTTTGAGGCACAGAAAAGTAAACTCGTAACAACCAAACACCCCCACCACCACGCCACTCTCTCATTCTCCCCCCCCACTCTCTCACTCTCTTCTCTCCACCAGATGGCGAGATATCTTCTTATTGGGAAGATATTGGGATCTAATGTGGCAAAATAACATTTTGGCTGACAAGGTACCTGAATGGCACCAGAAATAACAGACACACACCTCCTCTGATGCCCCAAGATAGCTTGCCTTTGATCATTCCTATTTCTATGGTGAGGAGGAGGGAAGAATCTTGCTGCCAACTATTAAGCAAATTGGTTGTCTTTTCAAACCCCAACCATAATGTGTTGCTACAACAGGATAGAAGATTCTCCAAACTCTCATTAATGTTGGAATGTGGATTTTTGTCCTAAATGCACCACAATGCCAGGACTAGGTTGATATTTTCAACAGAGAATTGTGGCATGAGGTTGCTAGTTGACAACCCTAACCACTGGTAGAAAACTTAACAATACATTGCAATAATATTTGGGACTGGTTCTCCATCAGTTGTTGTGTCCACTAACTTAGGGAGTTCATTCAGCCACGTGGAGATCTGTGCCTAAAGCAGTTAAGAATTACGAAAAACACAAACCCCAGCCTGAAGACCTGAATGTTTGCCAGAGACCATAAATTGTTCACTTGGCAACAGAAATCATTTGAAGAGACTAAGCAACTCTGAATGCATTATTCATTCTAGTTATTGATCCATTTTGAAATTAAGCAAGAAGGGGTTATTAGCGATTATTGACTGATGAAATCAGTCTGCAGGTGAACCTCAAAAGCACTGCAGGAGTTATCTCACTTGATTTCAATCAATGCTTGTTGCTGTCTTGCCTGAGAATATTAAATATTATGCCACAGCAAAGGCAACAGCAGCAATTTAAAACAGTCTCTGTACTTCCAAATCCCAGCAGCACGAAGAGAGAAAGAAAGTGTTCCTAATGTTCTTAAGGCAGCCATCTGAATGCCATAGCTTGCAGTGCCCTTTAGCTTCCAAGACAATACACAGCAACATATCAGTGTCCAACTTCAAGATGTGCAACGTGAACCAATGGCATTCCTCACTTAGTTCTTTGAACTTAGCCCAGATAAACAGAAAGAGTCTATCAAAGAAAAGCTGGCAAACACATTAGAATAGCAAGGCTTGGCATTTTCCAAACTTTAAGATGGCCACACACACAGATTTTATTTTACTGGCAAAAGTAGAGATGCAGAATCAAAGGCACATTTGAGTGACAGTTGGCTTTCAGCTCAGATTGACAGCACCAGATGGTAATCTGTGAACAATTAAGAAGCAAAGTAATGCTTGATCCCCAAGGCATAGTAGTTAGCTGGATCTTTTCCTTAATCTCCATTTATGACCAAGTTGATTTATCATGTCAGAGATTAATCTCTTTACGCAGATAACACTCTGCATTGTAATACTTCGGGATCACAAAGTGACTGCAGCTCTGATTTTAGAAACAATCTGCAAACAAGTGACATTCCTCATTGGTGGACCAACAACTCAAAAGATCCCCAGCTTCAATTATTTTAGTAATTGCTGTAGACAGGATACGCTTGTCTAAGTCTGTTTCCTGTTGACAGCCAAGAAAGCTGCAAACAATTCTATGTTTAAGATTTACTGTAACAGGAAAATAATGTGTAGGTAAGGAATTATTGTGTTTAATCTCAGCTGTTTGGCTAGTACTTCCCAATATATAAAGAGTACCTATGATTTACAAATGGAACAATGAAATACAGGATTCAGTTTTCCTCATTAAATGGTATTTCATGTTTGGTCATTGTCTTCAATCTTTGGAATCATTGGAATAGCCAATCTATTATTATTTTATTATCATTGCAAAGATTATTGTTGATTGCATCTTGAAGTAAGTCTCCCTGTCATACAGCAAGTCGCAGAGATGAATCCTGGTGATAAGTTATAGTTAATTTTGAAGGCAAAGAACAAAGAACGTTTTAAATCACGGAAGGGTACCAAAAAGTTCATTTACTCAGAGTTCCATTAATTGAGGCTGACCAGTTGGTGTATTTCAGAAAGGAGTTGCCACTGTATGCATTAGCTCAAGATATTCTGTATTTTTAATGAGAGTGCACTGAATAAAAAGGACTCTCTTTGGATTGAAGTTTAGAGGAATGAAGCCACATTGGAGATTTCAGCCTTTAACCAATAATTCACAGGAGAGTAAGATGTGGTAGGTGCGTCATCATTCATGTGAGCTCATTTCAGTGGCTTGCCTTTCCAAACAAAATTAACTTCAACTTTCAGATAATTTTATGGATCGTCAGGAAATTGAAAATAATAATTTTCTTACATTCTGTTTTTAGCAAATAATAATTTTTTTTAAAAGGAACATACCCAACAAACAGCCAGGACTCCAAATAGACATTCAAGACCATAATTATGGAAATATATTTCTGAATAGAATGTCACGTATGCACTTGAATTGACAAGTCCCTTTTTGTAATATGCAATTTGTATTAATTTTCTGTTTGAAGGAAAGATTGGTCATCTTCCTTTCAATTATATGCTGTGAGGTTGTGTGTTAAAACTGTAATAGAAATGTCAAAAACAACATTAGGCATAAATTATTCTCTCAAAAGCTAATACTAAATCACTAGCTATGTGAACCTGTCTGGAAGTCATAAATAATACGTTCAATTATCTTTATGCAACTTGAAACAGTTGGCTAAGATGTAAATTGTGGCTAAGTGACCTGATAACAGTATTGTTCTGGACTGAGTCAGATGGTCTTAGCCAGCAATCCGTCGCATCTTGGCTCATCCCTTTCCAGGGAGGATGAAAACTAACACGTCTTCCCTTCTCACTCCCAACTGAATCCTACTTAAAAAAATCCAGGTTTCCAAATGTATCACAAATGTATAAACAATGCAAAACCAAGGAACATCAAGGAAGCTAATACGGGTAAATGTGACCTGACAGATTGCTGCAATGATGCTTTTAGAGACCTATTTAGATACAACGTCCGAGACGAACCAAAAAGAAAATGCCCACGCGATAGCCTAACAGTGGTCGGAATTTAAGAAAACAAACAGAAATGAAACCTGCTCACTGCTATGTGCTGCAGTTGGTACTAATTAGGTCCCAGAGTACACTGCCAGTTGCCACTTGAGGATGCGGTTGAAGAAGTGCAGCCCTTTTATCCACTATTGAAGTGCACCCAACAGCAGAAACCAATTTAAAACCTAAAAAAAGCCCAGCCCCACTGAGCCTCAACCAGCAGTCTTTATTCCCCCTTCACCAGTGAATTAGAGGAGGATTAACCCTTGAACTCCTGAATAAACATCAACATGCGTTGAATCTCAAATTAGACTGAACATATACTACTAAACGAAAATCAAGCTTAAAGTATTTATTTCCCATTTTTCCCCAACATGGTGTGGCAGCACAATGTGAATTAATGTTGAGCACAATGTTGAGCACTACAGGCCACAGAAGAAAGCCTGTCAAAGTCAAACACACACATGGGGAAAAGAAGGTCATCTACAAAATAACTCTACAGTTCAGTTGTGCAGATAGTGCATAAAAGCAGGAGGCTTCCTTCAAATACCAACAGGAATCGGTTCTCCTGTGCAGGCACAAGATTTCACTGTGTGTTCAACTGCAAGCTTTGCAAGATGCTAGAGTAATTCAAATGTGCTGCTGCTATGTTTCCCCATTGATTCGGAGGAAAGAAAATAAAATCTCTCAAAACAGTTTGACTGAACTTCTCATAGCGTTAACAGGAGCAAAAAAAAATTAAACAGGATGACCACTCCTGATAATTGTGTAGTGACCTATGCTCAACTTCTAGCAGCCCGTAATCTTGCAGGGTCATTGATTGAGAGGGGAGGCAGAGAGAGAGAAAGAAATCCTTTTAGCAAGCACCTTTGAAGCTGAATCACAGATAGCATTGACATTGCCCTTAAGAGAGGGCAATGGGCTGATCAGACCATCCTCATTATCAACGACAAGATGCAATGCAGGAGGATAACTGGGCGGGGATACGAGAGGAGGTGGCGGCAGGAGTGAGCACAGAAGAGAGAGCAAAGAGAATTCTGTATTTTAACAAATATAAAATAGCAGCCTATATGCACTTGGCAAAGGTTAGAAGGCAGTGAAATTATGATTGGCAGATCTCCTTCATATGCCTGTGAGCACTCAGAAGACATCAATCAATCATAACTCATTTGACTCCTGAAAACAGTCTGATTGAAAGGTACTTTTAAGCACAAATAGCAGCCAAAAAGAATAGATGAGCCTCACTGAGGCTACCTTGACAAATCATGATGACTGTGTAATGTGATGCTCAATTTAACCATGCAAGTCAGAGCTGCTCGTTTACCGCAGGAAGGAAAAAAAACGAGGCTTAAAATCTGCAAGGTAATAATAATCCTTGCATTTGATACAGCGCCTTATGGTGTCTCAAAGAGATTCGCAGCATATACAGCAAAGTGGTGTGACTGTGAATTTTATTATTATTATATTTTATTTATTTTATATTTTATGGGCAAACGCGGCAAATGTTGGCCAGAAGACCCGGAGAAACTCCCTTCTCTTTTCAAATGGTGCCCTACAAAATAGGATGTCCAAGAGCAAAGTCACTCAGCAAGTCCTTGTGGCTTGATTAGCACAGATGAGGCCAGGTCATGACTTATTGTTTAAACAAATCATCTTGATGGCAGGACAGTAGGATGGGTATTCTGGAAGGATGAGATCAAATGGGTCAAATGGTCCTCCTTCTTCATCCAAACCTTATCTGTTGATTCCCCTATTCTGGTTCTATATCCAATACAAAATACCTCATCATAGTCTTATATTGTTTTTTAAAATTGGGCCAAATCACTATCTCATATTTTCCCCAGTCAGAAAATATCCTTAACTTCCACTTCAGATTTCACCTGCTTCGTACCCATTATTGTCGCCATTGCAATGCACGAGGGGTTATTCACAACCAGAAAGTTTCAAGCTAAATTTGGATGCCAGCAGGAATAGGCTTCCAACTTGCACAACTGATTTACAAAGGTAACAGGAAAGCAAAAGGATTTCGGGTTTTAGACATCCTGAACACGTACTCTATAGGAGACTAAATGGGGCACATTTTATTGACATTTAGGATTGAACAATCTTGTTGCTTATTTTATGTGTGCTTCGAAATAAAACAAAAACGCCAAGAGACGTAGAGAACGTGAAACCAAGGGTACTCATTTGCCACTTCAACTAAATATAAAAATACCCTCAGTGCAACAGGGAATGTCACTGGAAAAGTGCAATTAAAGTACTTCGAGGAGAGATGCAAAATATTTCCTTGCTTTAATATATTCTCTTTTGTTACGGACCTGAGACAAGTGCCTTTAAATTGGTTTTTCCTGCACTTGGCTCACATGTTCCATAAATTCGTTTTTTTCAGTAATATATTGTGCTTGACAGGTATTATTATGGGAGGAATGGACTTGATACTTACTGCGATTAAGATTTGGGCACTGTATTATATATCCATTAGGCATTAGAATGATCTTGACATCTTGCATAATGCCCTAAAAAAATTGAGAAATGGGAAAGAAAATTTACATAAACCACATTATGACACAAATGTCAAATATCACTATTCAGGTGGATGGAATTGCTTGCAAATGGCTTGAACAATTTCTTACAGGGAAAAGCAGATATTTGCTGAAATATACTTGATGACAGTAGGGTATAAAGCTTAGTTGTATCTTGCAGCAGCGCTTACCCACACCCGATCTGGTCTATCATTGTACGGTTCTACAAAATTATGTTCTCTTTAATTTATAGGACAATTAAACACAGACGTCCTTTCACATTATATTTAGGTTATGGGACATTCAAACAGATAAAATGTTTAACTGCCAAAAGCACCTTCGTGACAAGGGCAAAATGCAATAGCACTTGGGTCAAACAATATGATGGACCCTTTATTGTTAGTTTGTTAAATGACTCAATTCAAACACTTCCACACTCCATTCATAACAAAATCAAAACTGCTAAAAAATATCATTGCCATCAATTAAGTCAGATTCAACATAAAGATTTGTTTGCAAATCAAATGGCCTTGATTACAGCAAATTTCAATTAGACAATGTTGTATGCTGGTTTTCTGTGTAATTGCTCAGTGACGAAAGGTACAAATTTATGCAGTATAGTATTTCATCAAAGGTATCTTGCACCTGGATCACCCTGGAACTCTCAGATGCATCTATATTTTGGCCTAGATCTGAATTCACTGGAACATGGGTAATGTGCATCTCTTAGAACAAATTGCACTGCGCAGGGAAAAGGTGTGAAGGTCAGGTATGTTGACTGAAGGGATTTGATATTCTACGGGCAGACTAGTTATGGAATCTATACCTGGAGTTTGCTCTCAAATTTGATGTGCTTATTTGCACTTCCTATTCATTTCAAATGGAATTGGGGGATTATAACCAACCATGCACTGCACTATTGCTGCTGAAGGAAACAAAACAGTCTCGGCTTTTAGTTGAGCTCCTTGAAAACAGCAAATAGCACCCCCCCCCGCACATATTACTGAAGAGATAGGTACAGAGACAGCATGTAAATCCAAAACAGTTAATTAGAAACTATCTCGCTTCATTATGCAGGGTTTTGAATTATGCAGGCTTATGATGGGGGACAAAGCACAGGAATGTTTTTTTAAAGTAAACACAGAGTCATCTTTAAACATTAGCATTAACAAATGGGTCTATTCTAATCAGGTGCCCAGCCAATACTAAAATAATGCAACAATGGTTTGATATTTATGGGATACTGATGAATCTTGTTGCAAATATGTGCAATAACTACCAGAACTGAATACTTAATATTGAGTTCAATGGTGACTTTAAACATGCATAATATAAATACATAAATACTGGAGCCAGCCAAGCTACGAACATCAGCAACTTTCCTTCCAGCTAAAAGTTAAGTCAGATAAATTTCAAGTGGCCAACTGCATAGCAATATTTTGAGGCCGTGAAATTTAGACGCTGTTCATTCATTACAATACTATCATTTAGCAACAAATGGTAAAGTGACACGTTTTCACAATTCTGTTTTTAGATGCCATTCAGACTGAGGTTAAACAATCAATCTAATTGGGTTCACGTGCTGCAGAGACTCAAATTAAGTTTAATTCAATGGAAAACTATTAATTTGTCATTCTAAAATCTTAAAGGCACATGGCAGCTTTATTTGCAGATATGTACCCTCAGTTATATAACTGACCAGCAACAGTGATCACCCATGTTAGGCATAGGTACTGGTACCCAGAGGCCTGTAAGCAAATGCACATCTTTCTGAGCAAGGACCATCTCCTAACACAAATAAAAAGCTCTCACAGCAAGACTGGAGAAAAAATATTGCCTTTGAAAAAAAAACATTTTCCAAGAATGTATGAAAACCCAAACTGAGATAAGAGTAAGTACTTTATTTTTTAATGAATTTTAATATGCAGGGATATGGATCAAGGAACAAGGTAACATAGAAATGCAGAATGACAATGCATTCAGATTGCAACTTCAATTATAGTAGCCTTTCAAATTGAAGATGATGGAAAGTCAAATGGAATAAGGTCTTGTAATGGGCTTCAATTGATGTTTCAACCACTACTTCCACTGCCATCTTAACATTTTTTTTAAAAAAAGGCAAAGGTTTTACTGCACTCCTTTCAATAACTTCAATTATATAACATCAAAACTGCACACATCAGTTCTCTATTTGTGACAATGTTTAAACCATTTGGGAGTCACTGCCTAATTCATAAACATTTTCAAAATTACTTTTTCCACAACTTTAGCCAATAATATCATTTTAAAACTTTTAAATAATAACCTTTACATTTCAAATAACTCCTGTCACATCAGGAAGACATCTCAAAGTGCTTGACTGGATTTACCGTAGAATGTAGTCACTGCGCATTTTGTAGGCTTAAATTTGCACAGAGAGTTTTCCCACAAACAGCTATAAAGTAAATGACCCATTTTTATCTGGCCAGGAAACTGGGAGAAATGCCTTCATTTTTTTTCAAATAATAGCATGCAATTTTTAACGTCTAACCTAAACAAGCAGATGGGCACTCGGTTTAAAGTCTCACCTGAAGGACAACACTTCTGACAAAGTAACACTTCTCCAGCATCTCTACAGTCTTGAATGTTTATGCATTGAGCAATGCAATTAATTTAAATATAGCGCTAATATTCTTTTGATGTTGTTCCTCTCTCCTGTCCCACACACAAAACAACAGCCAACAGCATTCAAAAAATCTTATATTTTTGAAGGCATTTTAATCACAAAGTAACATAGAAAACCAATAGAGCAAAACCAAAGAAAAATAATATGCCAACTGTTGCAATAAAACAGTAAGGAAAGAAAATGACACTGAAGAAATTTTATATTCCAGAGCTCATTTCTTTGCTGCCAATCACATTATTTTGGATGAAAATACTTCTGTTGTTTATACAAACGCTAAAAATACTTTTCAACTGGCAGGCCCAACTGCATGAATATTTAAAATATGTGCTTTGAATTATTGCTACGTGTGAAATAAACACATTCTGAAATAAATATATTACTTCCACCACTATGTTCATATCAGAATATTAAGTTGCATCTCTGCTGCTTTAATGCAACCAATGGGTGTAAACTGACCACAGAATGGACTGAAAGATTGCAACAGTTTAAACCATTGCCATCAGTACAACTTACCTTAAAGAGTCCATGTTTACTGTTGCGTTGGCCAAGCCACAAGCTGATACTTGGAGTAAGACTGGTCTGAGGTGAATCAATAACACGTTCATAAATTCTGTGGGAAAAAAATATTCAACTGTAAATTGAAAATCTGTGTATTGACAACGATGATAATGACAACTATTCAGTAACAATGTGTGGCTTGTTCATATTCCACATGAACAAAGGTATGGTGAGTGCCCCACCTCCACTGGTCATAATAATTATAATAATTGATCCGCTATTTAAAGACTCCTGAGTCTTTTTTTAAAAAAAATAATCAACTTTCAACCCCAAAATCCTCGCCTCCTTAATTTCATCTAGTGAATGAGCAGCTACCACATCTTCAAGCTTTTCATTTACTTTAAACTTCAAGAAATGTACATGGGTTTTGGTGAAGTAAACTAGCTCAAATATGTACACGGCTGCGGATGTGTCTGGTGCAGTTACTTCAGGACCTAAAATCAAAAAGGAAAGAGGCTAACCTTTGAGTGACAATGCCACTCTTTTGATCATTCAATGGAAGTATTTGATTCCTACCATCTGCTTAGGTCACGATAGACATTATACAGTTTCCCTCCCCCAATTTACAGTAGTTGTCTGACTTGTTTGGAAATTAAATTATGCATCATCTACTTATAATGAGTTGGAGGAAACTATGAAATCAGAAACTTTGAACAGTATAATAATATTCCAGATGAATTAATTTCAAATGTTTCTGCTGAGACATTTCCATCCGGAAATAGTTTTGTGGAAATGATTTTACTGAGGACTTATTCACTGTTTGACATTCACCATTTTCATTATCATGTCATGCAAAATACCACAACGCAGGTTTTTGAGGTTTTATAGATTCCTCAGAGGTGCGTATCTCATTCTGAGTAAGTAGAAATGTCAATAGGAACTCAGAATCCTTAGGGTAAGAGTTCAGATGAGAAACAGCAGAGGGTCAGGGTAATTAAATAGACACATGTGCAAACAGTTCATTAAAAGGAAACATTTCAATTTGGTTTAGTGTAGCATTAAATCAAATCCTCACTGTAATCTCCAGTTGGGTAGTAGCCCTAAATCTCTCCCGTCAGGTCTTGTAGTCACAAGTTTCAATTCCATTAAGGCCAACGTTTCAGTGTACCAGTTCCATTAGCAATTAGCATAAACTGTCAAGAAATCATGCTTATATTATAACCTTCAGACGGATAAGTCTTGTACTTTTCAGCTCCTCAAAGCAGACAAGCCATCACAATGGAGACAGTTCCACTCTCCCTACTGAGGGTCTTCCAGTTAATGCACTGATAATATTTTAGAATGTATCATTTCAATCAAAAGGAGGGTTCAGATGAGACCAGTATTTAATGTCAATTACGGTCTGAGTTTCTGTTTTGATAATTGCAACTAGAATACTGTAGAAGTTTAATTTAACCCTCTGCATGCATGAAGAAGGTTAAGGTTCTACATCTTGCTGGAGATTAACTGGCTCCGAGACGACACACCGGGCAAAAAGAAGCCATTTCTCAATAATCGAGGGAAAAGGTGGAGATGTGGACATGTCTTCAACTTTTATACCTGAGCTGTATTTGATAGAGTAGTCCTTACTGCACAAGTGCCAATTTGTTTGGATGAAAATAATGGGAATTGAGAAAATAGCAATGAAGGAGATACCAATTTTGGAACTAAGCCAAAGCTTTCAACAAGAAATCACACAATAAACACGAGTCAAGCTCAAATAATTTCCACTCATTGTCTTAACCCATGCACTGGATTATAGCTTTTACTTCCCTCATTACGAAAATTATATACCATTCGTAATTATTCAGGGAAACTATTTAAACACATTGTTCTACCTTCAGCTACTGTTGATTAACTGCTTTTTGTGAAATGAATTGAGCACCGTGGGTTAGACTCCTATGTGAAATATAAAGTGCAGAGGACAGTATTGGTTGCAACGCACATCCATTGCTTTGTGATGAAATCACTGGAAGATTGAAAGCTCACACACTCAATGCTTGACTCTATCTAATATTGTCTAAATTATTTGTAGCTCATAACATTATATTTGTATTTAGCCAGGTCAAGCAAGTAAATTTACAATACACAGGAGGTGTTTCAAAATGAAACCTCAACTCAGTGCGTCACGCAAGGCAGTGATGAATGCTGTCCCTTTTGCACAAAACAATCTGATGCAAAAACAAGTTTCTAACCTACAGACTGCAGAGGTCTCCATTTCAAATTAAACACTGTCATACTACATCATGCCCAAGGTGAATGGGACATCAGCTTCAAATGAATCCTAGTTAGAGTGGTCCTGGCAGACCAGGTATTTGACTGCATTCATGCAGTGTTTCTCCTCATAAATTAACAAAAAAAATTACTATACCACGCACAGAGTCATCCCTTTCTCATTCAAAAGTAATGCGTAAATCAACAAGTCACTCAACCAGCACCTTGTGTGGAGATCGTGCACTTGTACTTTCTTGAGAAACAGCGCGTTGCCAAAGCAACACCGAATACATGAGTGCACTCCTACACAGTTCAGAAGAGAGCATCACGTTGACATTCAGTGAAACTCCACAGGAAATATGAAGTTTCGAAACCCATGAAAAGCCAGTCATGTAGATTTAACCATTAAATGCTGAGGTTCACATATTTCAATCTGCAGTGCAGAAAGATTGCCTTTTTCCCTCATTCCAAGTTAATATTCCACTGGCTCTTTATTACATTTTAAATATAAGATTCAATACTCTTCAGATTTTCTTTAGACATAATCTTTACAACATCAGAAGCGATCTGTAAAGAGTTTCATAGCTACCAGATTAACCATTGACAAAGCAAACAGAACAATAATCATCATAACTTAGAATTTATACAGAATAATAGCTAAATCTCTAAACGTACATAATAAATGCAGGTGTAATTTGTGTACCATTTAGGTCATTGCCCCCATTCCACATCTCTGGTCAAAACACTTGCAACAGCTAGAATTTTATTCAGCTGTATAACAATGCATCATTAGAGAGATTTCTGGATGCTGGAATTTTCATTTCCTAATATTGGGAACTCACCCACATCATTAAGAGCTGTCAATGCAAGAAAAGCAGTTGATGCTGCATTGATTAATTCCCTTAAAGAAATAACTGGGTAAGTGACTGCTTGGCAATAACATATGGAACAGGTACAGAATGAGACGAACTAATCCTCCATGGGAAGTAATAAATTCTGTACTACTGGGTCCCAGAAGAGGGAGATAAAGGAAGGAAAGAAAATGTTATCTGTGGAGGGACCGAGACCAAAGTTCAGTTGTGTAGTTATAGGAATGAAAGAATCGTCTGCTGTGTTCAGTTTCTCTTACCTGCTGCAATCCACATGTAACAAGAGGTGGGAAGCGCTGACCGAAAGTGCAATCCTGTGCCACTGACCATCAGCCAGTCGATATGGAAATACTTCTGTTCGAGATTTCCCATCAAAACGGTAGTGATATCTAATCTCATCCCTTTGTCCACTGCTTTCCAGTTCAAAGTACCTAGATTCAGAACAACAAATAATGGGATAAAGCTATTCTGCAGTACCTAATAATAATTCATGCAAATGATATGATGTAGCATTGTTTAGACACATGGTGTTAAACGCATCATTCTGCACATATTCTATTAACCGACTTTGGAAAAATTTAATTTTCTTTGCTAATTGCTTATCCAAGTTTTATTTCCAACCAGATAAACCACGGACATGTTTGCCCATTTGAGGAAACTCAAGTCAGAACTATCTGAATGACTGACCATTTTTCAATAAAACAAATTGTAAAGTCATGTCATCGTAGGATTCAGTGATTGAGACTCAAAGACCAAAGAGTATGAGGGCAGACGTATAGCATACCGTACACCTACATACCCGAGACAAGAACAACTTATAGCTAGGAGTTAGAAATAGATTTTTCAAATCCATTCATTCTACGCCACTTCCAATGGTAACTTAGATCAAAGGACAGTCTCAGTGACTGGTTTGATGAATGGTCTGGTTATTGTTCTGTGCAACCTCTTGCCATTTCTAAGGAGAAAGAATCCAAACAATTAGAAAAGGTCAATTTATCCCATTCAGACCATATCCTTTTCCAAGAACATGTAGCTTAGAATAAGGGCATTTAAAACTCATCCAATGGTAACCTTTGGGTCAAAGATTTAACGACAAACAATAATTCTTGTGAATTCCTGAGATCGTTTAAATTTGGTAAAAATGTTTTCCACCTCATATGCTGAAAATACATTCTCCCTTAAATAGTAGCCTACCTGCCTTGTGCTGGCTTCTATGTGGCCCCAAAAAAGATGCGATGGGATTTTGTTTTCAGCATCTTAATCAGGGACATTGAAGCAGGAATAGAATGCTGGAACTCGATGTGTGTAACCTTTTTAGTAAAAGATGATTTTTTGGTTTTGTCACTCTAACATTTCTGCATGTGATATTTCTGCCTTTAATATAGAAAAAAAGAGCTAAAGCCATCACACCGCTTCTTTTGGTGCTGTTCTCTCAGCTGGAAGCTTGAAATGACCTGATAGAGCAATATCACATTGAAAGGAAAGCACTACCTGAACCAGAAAACATGGTTACTTCCACAACCTGAAACTTGGCAAATACGCAAGTAATCTGAAAACAAATGTTAGAGTTATATATCCTCCCTTAATTCGTTGAGATGAACAATCTCAGAGACAGGGAGTGAAGAAAAAACTATCCAGTTTGGGCAGCCAGCATGAGCACAAGTACTCTCAATCATAAGCATAGTCTATATAAAGGAAAGCTCTCTCTACTCTGTTCAATGCCAAAAATCCCTAACTTCCCAATGGGAATTACCCAGCTGCTACCAAAAAAAATCATCCTCACTATCTTAAGTGGCATTACCAATTTACTGTCAATTTAAGCTGTTTTTGTCCTGCGGGATTACGACCACCAAGAAATAGATCAAAAATCATTTCACATAAAGCCCTTCAGCCAGCAAAGAAAGCTAACTTTCATTTCATCAGTCAAGGCCTGATTTAAACCCTCATCCCAAAGGTGAGAGGACAGTGTACTCGATCATAATACCACTCCCTTCCCAATTAGAATTTTAATCAACTAGGCAGATACAATTTTAATCAACTAGATCCATTAGCTTCCCTTTTTGTCAGTGCAACTAGTTAATTCTCTGCCTCAAATCACTCTGTTTTCTACCATTTGTTTCCTTCACTTCACAAAGGCTCCAAAACAAATCCAGCGATATGCTTTGCACGTCACTCTGGACATTCTCCAGAAGCTTTCTCATAGTCTCATGGTGTGTGGCGGAGATGTTAATTCTTTATTGTTCCTTCTGTTCTGCTGTTTAGATTCCAATTTGATTCCCTTCACAAATAGTACGGTGTACAGACCTGTTTCACTACAGGCAGAAAATGAAAACTTCTGGCAAGGCATTTTTCTATCTCGGGGAGTTTCTGGAGTATTGCTTTAGGCAGGGATAATGTTTCCAGTTTTAACATATTAATGCCCTGGTCATAGCACAAAATCCATAACTAGCAAGGGATAAATATTCACTTTCTGGACAGAAATTTCTTGAAGGAGCAGACAGGCCAGTGATTGATTTTTTCCCCACAGTTTGAAAATAAAGTATTGTGCACAAATATTGTCATTTCTGAGTTGTAATTATCTGTAGAATAACGTAATAACAACACTTGTAAAATAAATAATGCATCATTAGTTGCCTGGTGGTGTACCAGATAAATTTCACATTGAGTCTTAACAGAAGCTATTAGTCAAGAGCTAACAAGTTTTATTAGGTCTCAGCAAAGTCACTAGTTCAAATAATATACTCATAATATACATAACAATATATATTCATTACAAGAGCAAATCTCAACTAAAATTGAAACTCTATTAATAATAATATTCATCCCTATGTAGAGATTGAAAATGTAGACTCCAGATGTTTAACTAAAATGTTCACTTCCCCTTCCCTTTGATATTATTATTATTGTAGTGGTTGCTTAAGTGACCAGAGTCAGAGCCTTATGTATATTATATATATATATATAACACACACAGAAACTTTACATGAATCCCATTTACCCAGGTAATAAATGATTGTTATCTCAAAAATGAGATGCCTGATCAGAACTTTAACCCAATTGAAGGAAAAATAAAATTCTAATAAACTCCTGTTCACTTTCTAGAAATGGAAATTGAGATGGTCCTTGGTAAGTCTCAGGCTGACCTCCAGTTTTCTTAGCATCCATTATTCATACACGTGCATCAACCTACATACGTATTAATGTCAGAACAGTCAAAATCCTAGAATGGGGGAGGTGTAAACATTGCATATAAAACTGAAGAATCAGCATTTACCAGACACCATCAAATAATCAACAAAACTGCACTCAAATAACTGGACCCACCAATTATTATTTGTGACTGCCCATTGTCCCAGGGGAGTCTTGTACAAGAAAGTAATATAAGAGTCCTTATATTTAAGTAACAATTTTTTGCACAAAAAGATATCTCCACTGTTGTTCTTAACGTGCCTGGTATAACTATTTGCTTGCAAATTTACATACTCAGTGCATTGAGTATATTGCTAACTTCTCTTACACCTCAATAATCAACTGCAATTAATCATTTGATAAAAGGTGCACAAGGCTGCACGCACCACCATTCTTTTAAGACTGCACAATACCACACAACAGCTGCAGGGACCACCAAACCTATCAGCAGTTATTCTAACATCTTCTATCTACAAACAAATGGACAACCCTCAGAGACGAATGTGTATATATAACAAAAACACACGCTTCAAGGCTGTGTTACAATCTTTAGATGCGGTTGAAAATTACGCATTGTCTCACGCTTTATGGTTTAAATAAAGCATGATCTTACCTGGACCCTTACATTATAATAATCCTTGCATTTGATATAGCGCTTTTCGCGTCTTCTAGACGTCTCAAAGCTCTTCACAAAATATGCTGTAAAGTGAATTGACTGTATATTCGTGCGCGAAACTCGTCAGCCAATTGCGCACAGCAGTGTCCCACAAACAGTCGTGGATTGGAAATGACCAATTTATTATTGTGTTTTTTTTGGAGGGATTATTATTAGGTGTGTGGAGTAAGGAAACTTGCCCAACGTTTCGCCCTGACCTGGAATTGAACCCAGGTGTCTCACTTGCAAGGCGAGTGCTCTAACCACTGAACTACAGGACTCCACACATTTTAGCTTACTGCCAATTGTTCCTAGATATCCATTAGTCTCCAAATGGCAAATACAAATTGTTAGAGAAAAGCAAATCGCTAAAATCTAGTCAATTGCACCTACATATTAAAAGGCTGCATTTGTATGATCAAGACTACGCCAAGCTCTTAAATGTGAGATGTAAAATGTCGAGACATTCAGATAGCTCATTTGAGCCCAGCCTTGCAAAATAAGCTATTGCAAACTTTTCCCGAATTATGTTAACGACTTTACCAGCCCAATTTTCAGCACATTCTCTCACTCACTCAGCAGGTGCTGTGAGTTTACTCTACCTGAGATCTGACTCATGAATGGATAAGATGACCCCAGACGTTAAAGTCTTTTGTTGAATCGTGGCTAAGATCGTGAACTCAGTTTTATTTCTAAATAGTTGGATCACTTTCTCGACCACTTGTGGAGCCACTTGGATCTGTCTCTCCACATCTGAGGAAAACAAGCACAATCAGTCACAGCGAAACCTGTCTGAAACATTTTGCTACCAGCAATCCCTTGATATCCCCCACGGGCCATTTCTCAATACACTACATCACTCGACAAAGTTTACCGTGTTTGTTTGGTTGTTTTGCAACATCCATTCGAAAAGCGCAAACATGCGTACATATATCTCAGGCAACATCATGTAACTCTTTTGCGAAAATATGCATAGCTGCTTCGATTTCAAACAACTTAAAACGTTTGCATATATCTTACAGACAATGTGCACAGAATGAAATGGATGGATGAATCAAATCTCACAGCAAAATTCAGGCCAGCACAGTACGAATGATGGAGCAATATTTATCGAAACATTTGCTCGATGGTAATTTAAGAATAATTCATTTTAGCTTTTGTTCCACGTGTTCAACTGAAGTCAAGTCAACAAGGCTCATGTCTAACTGGTTAAAGTTCTGACTTCACTTGAACCCTTTTTTTGGAAAAAAAATCAGGTTTCATCTCTATTCCACATCCAAAAACGGTTAGTTTCCACCCCAAAATCCGTACCCTTCCTTTGGTAAATATCTGTACTAGTGAACTTTTACCTGTTTTGCAAAATCTCGTTCTTATCTATCACTGTTTAAAGATGGTGTGGCCATAATCCCAGTGTGTGCAAGTATCAGGATGCAGAGAGACAATTGTAATCCTTACACCTCACTCGCTGACTGTTTATTGTATCATCAAATCAGATTGCTAAACTTGAAAGGACTGGAATGCATGCCTTGAAGACCTGATGTCGCTTGCAATGCATCGCCAATTACCTTTCAGACATTCAGCACCTGAGCTGTGGAAGTCACAAGTGGTTTTGCGACGTCTTTCTGTCATGCTTGCTTGGTTCACTTTGACATTTATCACACCGTGAAATCAACAACACGGGGGAGAAGGGGGAGAAGGGGGCTGGGGGGGAAATCTGGGAAGAAAGCAAGATGTCGGTGCAAAGTGACTTAATAACAATGTCACTCCTTCTAGATTATTAATGAATCATAAAGCTGTGTTGACCTCGGGATTTGCATTCCAGATCTTTACATTTATTTTATTCATAAACTTTGAAGGGTGACACTTGTAATTGGCTGATGAGCCACATGTTCTCTTCAATCTCCTTCCCTGGGGAAGAGCAGTCAATGCAAAAAAAAAAGATCGAGTGCTTTGGGTTCATAGCGCATCTCTTCCCTGTTTCTTTTGCTCGAGTGAATAAATCAAACCCTTCCCAAACTGGACACCGCACCGTCATATCCCTTTCTCCATGCTTTTAACGCAAGGTTGTGTGTTGTTTAATCGTGGCAAATGATGCTGAGAGATAGCAGAGAAAGAAAAAAAGACCTTCTGGTCAACGTATTCAATTAAACTGCTTAGAATTCCGTGAACTTGAGAAGATAAGGAGGAAGGGGGTGGGGGGGGGTGAGGGGAGAACACCCAACGAATGAATGCAGCTAAGGGTAATTATTGCTTCGAAAGCCGCAACAGAAGGGAAGATGTCTCTTTGAATCGCACCAGCAGCTTGTTTGAATGGACGTGATATCTCTGAGGTTGTGAGTTTACTGTAATTACACGCCTCGTGTTCCGTTCCGTTTATCATCCATTTATTAGCAATAAGAAAAGGAACTGGTCCTCGCTATACTTGGGATAAGGAGTAAGTCCAGCCAAGTGTTGTTTCTATGCACTGTTACAGTATTGGGGTGGTGGTGGGGGGGGGGGGGGGGGTTGTATGCATATACAGGGTGACCAATAAGTCGTGATGCCCCATTACAGTGTCTAATAAGTCTTAAAGCAATGATGATATTTTACAAAAGATAATAGGGTACCTTTTGGGTCATCCTGTGCATTATAGAAACAGCATCCATCCAAAGTCTGCAGAACTGTATGTAAGGATGGGGGTAGGGGCTGTCTGGAATCTATCTGTATTGGGGGCAGTGTGTGTGTGTATAGGTTTTTTTTGGTGGGGGGGGTGGAATCCTCTGACTTAAGTTGCAGCCTTTTGACGTGATTTGGCATATTTGATACAGCAACGGTGTATAATCCACAAGTACACATATTTTACACATTTTCAACCCAACCTGCACATTTTTTTTCACAATAAAAAGTCGTGAAGCTTTACGAGACCGTCTTACAAGTTAAGGTTCAGCTGCTGTCAAACTGGAAAATTACCTAATTTTAAGGCAGGACACGCAAAAAAGTAACGAGCTACGACTTTATCGTGCTGCTGCAAGAATTGACAGTAATATAACGCCAAGCTAAGAAATAAATTACACGCCCGGAGAGGAGAATAAAGGCAGAGTTGTTAAACTGTTCCAATAACTTTTGGTTAACATCCAGTCTGAGCAATCTTTTTTTCAAAAAAAAATCACACACAGCCAGAGAAAATGCAGACCCATGGTAATTCTTACCCCTTTACAAAATGGTGATTTTTTTTTGGAGAGGGGGGGGGGGGGGGGGCTGCCTTGTGCTTTGCTTCAGCAGAACATCACAAACCTCATGAATAAAATATGACAAATTTGATAGCATTCATTACGGAGTTTTCATTCGTGACCATTAACGTGCTTTGGAAGCTAATCTCCCCATTACTCCCTATCCCCCCCCACCCCCAACCCTTTTTTTTCGTGTGCGTTTCCAATATGCGATTTTTTTTCCAAAAAAAAAACACATTCACATCCATGACACATGTGTCCCTTCCCTTTGCTTAACCTTCAGCAAGAAGCATGACCATCAGTAAAGGTATCATTTGGTTGGATTGAGAAGAAAGAGCCAGCAGCTGTATGTGGATGGTAGTGAGAAGGCTAGGAAGTGAAGAAAAATGATTGATTTAGTTGTCCTATTTACCTTGAAACAAATATGCTTTGCTGTTATTATATAATCCTGGTACCTGAGCAACTCCAGTCGTTGTATTATCAAGGTCCAGTTCTGTGATGACATCAATTTGTAAGTCTGGGTCCATTCCAAACCCTAAGACTATAGAAATAACAGTCTTCAGTAAACGGCCGCAATAACTGTACTCTCGAGCACAATAAACGGGAGGAAAGTTTTTAACATGAAGCAAAAAGTGTTTTCGACCGATAAAATCCACTTTTTTTTTTAACCATTGCTCCCGTTTTGTTGTGGTTGCGGCTGAACCGCTTTGCACTACACGGACCTCCCCAAACCCACCAGAGGGTCGATTTGGGGTATGAATGTGAACGCGGTGTTGGAAACTGAACCACTGGTACCCAAACCCCACACATCCAGGCGTTGCCTTTTGCACTCCCCCCTTTCAACTCGAACCGAAATGTTGTGGGATTGCATTCCACTCGGGGTGCAAAATTCTACCAGTCATCAAGTTATACCCCTTATATAACCGACCTCCTCCCCACACCTGCCCTTTCACAGGATAAACCCGATGAGACGCTCCAACGCCAATCAATACCGTACCTCCCTCATAAATTATGGATCAATACGTTTTTTTTTGCAAAACGAGCTACGTTTTGAGCAGCGCGGGTTCAGGGATGTTAAAAGGGAGGTTTTTAGATATCTTTTGCACCGAATGTCCATAAAACTGGAGAGTGCACGTGTGCGTTAAATAAAAAGTTTAAAAAAATAAGGTTCCAAGATCTGGTTTGGGGTGAGGGGTGGGGGTGGGGGGTGAGGGTGGGGGTGGATTGCGAGTAATTCAATGAACTCCCAGCTTTTGCTTATAATGTGAAAGTCGCTGCAAATTCCCAGTCCAAAAAAAAATACAACGCTATTCCATGAAATCTTATGTCAAGCATTCGATCTTATTACGGTGTAAAAATGCGCTGCGTTTACGAACGCCCATGCGCACAGACGAGAAAATAGAGGTTTCTGTGGTTTTTTCCCACACACACACACACACACACAAAAAAACACAAGTGAGTGTGGCTAAAACTAATAGATGAAGTAATAAGAGGTCTCCAGGGAAAAGAAACGTGTGGACCAGTCCCCCCCCCCACCAGGTTGCATTTAACACGTCTGTTGCCAGATTGTTATTGGGAGTGTTTTCAAACAGTCCAGGAATCGAGTCAAACACCATTTAGTTTGCAAGAACCCCCCCCACACACACACACACCCCACCAAACACAGTGCAAGGAATGATGAGAGTCATGCAAAAATATCTCCCCCCCCCCCACCCACCCACCAAACACAGTGCAAGCAATAAAAGTCATGCAAAAATCTCTCTCCCCCCCAATCTACTTGAAAACAAAAATCCCATTCAGTTGAAATGTTCTAATAATGTTCTAATAGAATAATGCAACAGCCTTCATTAAAACCAGAGTGAGGGGAGGGGGGGGGGGGCTCATAAATAACTGCAGGTGTCCAGCACCTCTCTTTGGCTTCACCAGCACTGCTATGTTACACCTCCACGATATGGACAACTTTAAACGCCCATCTCTCCCCCCATCCCCCCCCCCCCCCACCCCCATTCCCCCCCCCCCACCCCCATCCCCCCCCAAAAAAAACCCCTAAATAAAATAAAATCAGCAAATCTTTTAAAACTGTTCGCGAGGTATCTCTCTGGTCTGTTCCCCAAAACCTGAGCCCCCAACGCTTTCTCCTTTCCCTTTGGCAAAACCCTGATGAGGAGGAGGAGGAGGAGGAGGAGTGGAGAGAGAGATAGAGAGAGAGAGAGAGGGAGAGAGAGAGAGAGAGAGAGAAAAAAAACACACAACACACAACACAACACAACAAAAAGTCTCCTTACCTGATTTTGCTGAGACCATCAAAGCTAAAATCACCGAAATTATATCCATTTGCCTTTGCAGCATTTTTTCTTTTTTTTGGTAAAGAGATCGGGTTTCTTTTCCGCAGTTCTTTGGATTGAATTTTTTTTTTTAAAAATAAAAAAAAAAACCTTTCCGCGCAAAACTCGACCTTATATACTTTTTTTTCGTGTTGTGTGTGTTGTGTTGTGTTGTGTTCTAAGAAACGTCCTTAAGACTTAGCACTCGGCGTCGGGCTGCGAGTGAGTGTGTGAACCACCAAACAAACCCCCACCCACCACCCCCACCCCCACACACACACACCCACACACACACCCACACACACTCCCCCCACCCCCACCCCCTCCCTCCTTGGGTGTGTTGCGGGTTTCGACCCCTCTCTCACTGTCACGATAGTGTCCTTTCAGGGCTCTCTCTCGTCTGTGTGAGATGTCAGTCCGGGTTTAACGCGCGTTTGAGTGGGACAGCGAAACAGTTGCGCTTTCTCGTTCGTAACGTTATCCTCCTGAGATGCTGCTGCTTCTTCCTTCCCTTTCTTTCTTTCTCTCTCTCTCTCTCTCTCTCCCTCCTCCTTCCTCCTCCACTCCCTCTCTCTCCCTCTCTCTCTCTCTCTCAATAGAGCAGTCCTGGGGTTGAGTGGCTGTTCGCTGACGCGCAAAATAACGCATCCATCCTCGGCGGCGTCACGCGAAAAAGGATGGAGTCGCCGCGTTTTGGGGGTTGGAAACCGAACGCCTTTCCGATCAGCGCAGGTGGACCGGTGTGCGTTACTGTCGGCTCTCCCGGTGACAGCGGGTGGGGGGTGGGGGGTGGGGGCCGGTGGGGGGGGGGATAAGGACTACGCTTTGTTGCAGCCGCCCTGTGGATGGCTCTCGACTCTCCTCCCAGAGCCGCACCCGCCTGAGCTCGGGATACTCGGGTGCGTTTCATCCCCATCAGTGCTGAGCAAAGGGAAGAGGGGAGGGGGTGGGTGTCAGACACAATCAACACCAGCAACCCCCACCCCCCCACCCCTCCACCCTACCCCCCTCAACACCACCCCCACCCCTCCACCCTCCCCACCCCTCCACCCTACCCCCCTCAACACCACCCCCACCCCTCCACCCCTCCCCACCCCTCCACCCTACCCCCTCAACACCCCCCCCACCCCTCCCCACCCCTCCACCCTACCCCCTCAACACCACCCCCACCCCTCCACCCCACCCCCTCACCCCACTCCACCCTACCCAACACCCCCACTCCTCCACCCTACCCTTACCCCCACCCCCTACACCCCCCCACCCTACCCCCCACCCCCCACTTCTCCACCCCACCCCTTACCCCCACTCCCTCACCCCCACCCCACTCCTCCACCCCTACCCCCCCCTCCCCACCCACCCCACCCCTCTCCCCAAAACGTATGACGTTTAAAACATGAACATTTATTTTTGTGTTTTAAGTTACATCGTATAGGATAAACTCTCTAATTCGAACACCGTATTAGGCAAATATATAATACATTAAATTGTGTTTGTACACATAAATACAAAAGTATTGAGGTAGGGCCTCAAGAATAATGAGCTTTTAAATGAACCGTGTACATTACATATGCAAGATATCCATCAAGCATAGATGATGCAACATTCACATCAACTTAGATATACTGTATATGTGTGTGTGGTCAGTAGATGATTTGATGACCTGATTTGGGGGTACATATCTATATCCATAGGCAGCAGCACCCCTTATAGAATGCACATATTTATGACATTACCTAAGTAATTAGGAATTAACCTATGCAGAGATAGGTCTACTAAAGTGCCTCGAAGGCATCACATACGCTACATACAAGTGACATATTACATACGGCAAAGTACAAGGTTAATCTACATACATTTTGTATTTCCTACATTGGAAGAACACATCAATAAGGCCAATGGTCAACCTGATGTGTTTAAAGACAATGTGCAAACTTAATAAAATGTCACTCAACAGCTTTCGGCAACCTTCATTCCACTATCATTATAAATACCTTTCTTTGGTACCCACTGCCTGGAGATGGCATGTAGGTGGATGATAAAATTGAGAAAAATATTGCAATTAACCTTAAGGTGCTAAGATGATTTTTTTTTGTTTTTGTTTTTTGGAAGGAAAACAACGGGATGCATTGATTTGGTAAGATACAATTAACATTTCCACAGCAAACCCAAGGGGGGGTAAAATAATTGACGTTGATGGGGTTCAGCGCTGAGGCACACCGTGTGGCAATACATGAAATCATTTATGACGAGGATTAGTCATATCGAAAGACAAACATATTGGAACAGAAAAATTACCTGAGACCCTGTTAACACGAAGACAGACAGACAGACAAAGGTATTGACGGAAAAAGAATCCCCGGAAGTCAACTACCGTAAATTTCAGACTACACTGTTTCAAGAAAGTCTTTTCTAAACTACGCTACACTCACCATCTCTACGTTTTTCATAAGATACTTAGAGGGACTTGACACCACTACTACGCAATATGAACACTGATCACTTTTTTTTAAAAAGCGGGAATACCTAGAGGCTACAGCATAGAATGAAAAATACAACCTGGCCAATTATTAGGAGCTGGAACAACCAATACAAAATCTTGCTCTGTGCACTGGTTGGAGTGGCCTTCCTAACCCCAACGGTCCATTCATTGTTGGAAAGAAACAGAACAGGCGAGACTATACAATGCATCACTTTTACAAGATCTTCCAGTATCTGGGGATGTACTAAATAGGATTGCACATTATTTTGAAGCTACTTTTTTTTTAGGTAAAATAATTGATAATGAAATAGGAACATTCATTCTTAGACTATACGTGAGGACATTTGAGACAGGAAATCACAGGACAGATTTTTTAGGAAGAAGCACGCGTGCGAGTGAATAGCAAGGGGGAAGGAAGCAGAAAGATATTGCACAAAGGAGCAAAAGTGGCTGCAAGAGGTCGGTTGGGAGATCAAGAAAGAGGGCAAGGAGTGGAGCATGTGATAGATGGGGATAGTCAAACAGAGAATAAGAACCATGCAGCAAGGGAGTGTAACTGAAGGGAAGGAAGAGCGAGAGGGACAGAATGCGAGAACGTAGAGCGAGTTGGAAAATGAGAAAAAAAAACGAGTCAATACCTGCGAAAAAGAAAAAAAAAGCATTGGCAGATAGAGAATCGATGAGCGTGATGGGGAAGATGAAATGGGAAAACAAAGTATCAAAACGAGATCAAAATCAGAGAGCGAGATGATAATGTGGGAAGGACATGCAAATCAAACATGTATAGAACACGAGGAGTGTAATAACGGATGATGGATAAACGCTAAGTCCATATGTGTTAGGTAAAAAGAAACAAGTAAAACTAGAATTGAGTTCCCAGTTCCATGTCTTTGGGTGGCAGTTTCAGTCCGAGGGAGGAGGTCCCGAGTGGGTCTGTCATGTTTTTGTAGCGCTCTCCACGGTGCTGAGATAAAAAAGGTCCCCAGTCGGGCTGAGGTGTGCACACGAGTTTCAGCCTCTGAAAAAAAAACAGAGCACAATTTAATTTAAAAATGCAACAATTGTTCATTACAGCGGTTGAATAAAATTATTCACTTAAATGCACAATGTTCAAACAACAGGTAATGGATTATACCTCTATAAAACTGCCAGGTGCCAAATGCATCTTAACCACGAACATAATAGGAATCCATATGACAGAGCAAGCCAGCATTAACCATCCGAGCACCATGGACCAAGTGGGGTACCGGTAATTCTCATAGGTCAAGGGTTCCCATTGGTAAAAACTAAAGCAGAGGATGAACTGGAAAAGAAAAAACAATACATAATTGTGATTAGACAAATACATGGATCAGAACAGAAACGGGACATTGTAATTGTGGATTTGATTCTCCCTTCCATGTTCATGTTGATATCAAACACATTGCAATACAGCCAACTGTAAATAGTAGTATAACAGTTCTCAAAATCAGAACAGCTTGAACAACTTTTTAGATTTTCTCTTTTCCCCTGGCTGGAATCACCTGACACAGACACCTCACCCCCCCACCACCCGCTCATGATTGTTTTATTTTTGCAGAGAGAGAAGTTGAAAGTGTATGTAACTTGGAAGGGTGAAATGCCAGAAAAAAACATATGATAGATGATAATTTTGTATTTGTAACACCCTAGGCAGCGCAGTCTGTTGTGCAACCGACTCGGGACCATAACGTTATTAGTTTGAATGCCTGTGGGTCCATTTACATCTTCACCTTCTGAATTTGATAAAACTCTGCTTTAAGAAGTCCTCCTGAGAGGAAAGTAAGGGAGGTCTATCGGGGTTGAACTAGTTCATAGGAGATGTGTCTGCAGTAATTGAGGTGTAGATAAGTCTGCAAGTCAAAGCCCAAATGGGTAGGGTGTTCCTAGTTAGATAAGTACCATGCTATGCAGTTACAATTCGTGTTGATTTGTGCCAACACTGAAATGCTTTGATTATGTTGTAGCTTTATAATGCAGTATAAGTTCATCTTTCACACCGTGTTGCCTATAAAAATGGGATGTAATCGAGAGGGAAGCAGGATAGAATTCAGCAGCAGTAAAGATCTACAGGGAATGTCTCCAGAGTCAAAATAGTAAAAAAAAGAATGACACATCTTACCTTTATCACCATCCAGAATTATATAATAATAATAATCCTTAATAATCCTTGCATTTGATATAGCGCTTTTCACGTCAGGAGGACGTCCCAAAGCGCTTCACAGAACACACTGTAAAGTGAATTGACTGTATATTTGTGGGCGAACGCGGCAGCCAATTGCGCACAGCAATGTCCCACAAACAGTCGTAGATTGAAAATGACCAATTTAATTATTGTTTTTGGTTTTTTGGAGGGATTATTATTAGGCTCTGTGTGGAGTAAGGAAACTTGCCCAAGGTTTCGCCACCTGCCTGGAATTGAACTCAGGTCTCTCACTTGCAAAGCGAGTGCTCTAACCACTGAGCTACAGGACTCCACTATATGCACATCTTTCCACTACGCAAAGGGCACAATGTAATTGGAAGGGAATTGAAAATGAACAATATAAATAAATACAAGGAAAGAGCAGGGAAATTGGGTTTAGGGTATTTAGCTCCACTGGAAAAGTTGGCGCCATCTTAAGTTTGATGGGCTGAATGGCCTTCCTCTGTATGCTATCATTTCTATAATAAAGTTTTGTGCTTTGGTTTCTTACTAGTTTTGTTCCTAGTATTGACATTAACTGTCGAGGCAGAAGAGCAGGTATCAGAAAATAATGTCCTTACTGTGAGAATTGTAGGGGTGACAAATGCCCAGCAAACTCTCCAGAAATAGCTGGGTTGAAACCCAATCATCATCTCAATATCTTCACAAAACCGTTTCAATCCTGCAGGCAGAGAAAAAACAATGATAAAGTGAATGTCAAGTCACTATTTTTGGATACAGTGGTTACAAGTTATCACATATTTGCAGGTTATACCCTTACCAGGTGCCTAAAATCTTGAACATAGCTATGCAAAATCAAGATTATTTGCATGTATTCTAAAGTACACTAGTCTATGTGTACTTAAGCAACACATGTTTGACAAATTAGTATCCTAGTGGAGGGGAGGAATAAGCGGTGTCTATGTGGAGTTGAGTTAGCTGTAAGGTGGCCTGGCCTGGCAATGGAAGATTGAAATCGAGTCAATCTTCTGTGGTGGTCTCGTTAATCCCATGCTTGAGCCAGATAGGTCCACAGTACTCCAGTGCTCTGTCTATTTGATACTCATCCTATAGGCTAATTGCTTTCCTGCTCTAAGAGATTGTTGAGCAAAATATTACATAAGTCACAAAATGTTGGCTATGGCTTGGCTTCTTTCACCGCAGCAGTGCAATGCGTTAGAATGTAAAAACAGCAATCCAATCTTTTACACCAATTCAATTTTTTTTCACATGCGGGCAATATTTTTATTTTCATTGCAGCGAAAAATAAGTGAGAGGGTCTAAGGAGAAAAAACACAAAAGTAAATAGATGACTACTTTCATTACCCGTTGTAATAACCTATTTATATATCTCAGACTTGGTCCTAAATATCAGTAGGTGCTATACTTTCTATAAATTCAGCAAGTTCCTGGCATTCAGCTTTCACATTAAAGATGTTTGCAGAAATATTGCCACCTTGTGGCGATCGACCCTGTGTCACATTGACTTGCAATTTTGAACACATTTTGTTAAACACGATTTCTGCTAGAAATTATATACACTGTATAAAATAGGATTTCCTTTTTTCATATACTTTGGTCTAAATACATTTAAATTTCAAAGCATTGTTTTTCTTAAAAAACAAACAATTCTATCTTGAAGCATTCATTCTAAATAAATTGTAGCGTATGTGCCTACATAACACACGGAAACTTATGTTTAAACCAGTATTCTAAGAACATGAGAGTTACAGTTTAATGATCTGCCATGTTCTACTAAATTATGCAAAGCATATCTCCAGTAATAAGCTGTCAGATGGCGAAACAACTCTGTCTGCGCTACAGGATTATGTGAAAATATGTGGGTTGGTTCATTATAATCACAATGTTAAACAGCGAAGAAGTCGTCATTTGGGGCAATGTGCCACTATCTGCCATTTAAATGTAGTTGTTAGACATGATAACACTAAAAAAGTGATCAAATTCACTAGTTAGCTAGCACGGAACACACTACTACTCATGCCAGCAAAGGAGAACTCTAAACAGAGCTTCAATCAACTCTTTGCATTGCGTTGTGGAATTATGCTTAATTTAATCATTGCAATATCAATATCTCTATAGCAACATCATCATGGCTGTCAGAAAATGTTTATCCCAAGTTCTTAATGATTTTGCATTAATTGTGTCAAAATTAAAACTCAATTAAGTAAATGAGCCTTACCATATAGGTATGAAATTCCAACTAGCTCAAATATCGCTATGATGACAAGAGAATAGGAGGCAGCATATGTGTCCACAAGCTGCAACGTGTAAATCCCACTCTAAAGGAACGAAACGTCAACAAAGAGCAAATATTTCAAAATAAGCAAATGTTTTACTCGTGTTAAAATTAATCTACACACCAAAAATAAAAGTTCATATCAAAAATAATAAATGTTGGATGAGAAGATGAAGTAATAAGGGCCATTTTCTGCACTGGTGGATTTAGGGTAGGCAACAGGATTGAAAATGGGACCATAGGTTGAACCAAAGCAGTCAAGCTTCAGTTTCTCAGTACAATACACTGGCCTATTTCAGGGATTAGATCTCATCTCTTCATTGTAGCTTTCATTTTAATTTCAGACACCCAAAATATTGCTCAGTTGTAAAATACCATCATGAGATGGGATCTTTGAGAACATTTAAAATAAGCATTTGAGGTTGCATCCATCCTAACATATACAGTCCTTTCTCAATTGTAGGGCCCACCTACCTCAGGACACACAAGGAATTAAAACTTGCCACTTTCTTGTCTACATGGTTTAGTGCTACATCAAGAGAGGCAGCAAAGAGTTAAAATTGTTGTTATTGATTTCTATTTTGATGTATTTTAATGTATTGGCCCCTTTCTTTCAGTCTCTGTATACACAGACATAAATGTGTGCATATTATATATGTATATGTGTGGGTATGTGCCCGGCTCACATGCATGTGCACTGTTGCTCCCCGATGGCATGCCTGTGACCAAGAAGGAGCCTTTATCCAACCACATGGATAATTTCCGAACAATCTAATTTATTTATAATATTTTCAAACTGGAGATTACTTCTATGGTTAATTTTACTCTACTCTCAATGTATTGTTCCAACAGTTCTTAACATATAAACGTCTGACCCGGAACTGCAACTGAAAAGGGGGTTGGGGTGGGGGGCGGGAACAGTCTTGAAATACAACTCCCGGTCGTACCATTCCCACAGATTTTCATTGTTATGGCAAGAAAGAAAGTGCTCTGTGCAACACATTGTTCTTCAGATGTAGTAATAATGAGTCGGCTAAAACTTGCCTCGCGCTTACACACTCATACAAAGGAATAACATACTATCAAAGTAATCTTGGGCAATCCAGGAACCCGAGTTTCGATAATGAGCAATTTGGTGTAGTCAGTCTCGCACATGGAAACCTATCACCAGGCCTATAAGTCTCCAAACCAAACTGCAGGCTGAAAGTTCTACATATGTATGGTTTCTGTTTGTCTGTAGGGATATGATATGATATGATGTGATACGATGTGATCAAATATTGTCCATTGAAATAGAGCAAAGTCTTACCCTGGTTACCATAGGAATTCCCAGGAAGAAGAAAAACACACAGCAGCCTAATGTGAACAGTGGTTTCTTTGCACGCAGGTAGCCAGGGAATTCATCCACTACAGAAGTCACTATAGTCTCAATGGTTGCAAACTTCGGTTCAATTGGAAAGAATAGATACGTATTATATTTAATGGGGAATCAGCATTCATTCAATGTCAACAACTAACTTCCTGTTTGAAGCCATTTAAGACTTGGAGGTCAGAATCATTGAATGCCCCACCTGGAGCCCAAGTTTGATTCCAAGTTTGATATCCAGCTACTGCTGCAGACAGACTCCCTTCCCACATTAAAAAATGACTAACTTCCAGGTTGTCAGGTTGCTGCTGACATCACTTCGTAAACACTGGCCAAGCCATTAATGTCACTTCTTAGACTGAGACCACCCACTCTAACAGCGATGCCTTGTATTACGCTTAATATATCTACTGAAATTACATTGCAAGGCAATGTACCTTCATAACCTAAGGTGACATTTTCTAACATCTGCAAGTCCCACGTAAAAATTCTGTCCAAGTAGTTTGTAATGTGACTCATGCCAATTTTGACCTTGATTGCAAATGTGTTCATTTCCCTGAGAGAAAGATGTTCACACCTCACAGTGTGAGTGAGGTGTAAACCTGTTAAATCATGTGGGAATATTGGAATGCACATTGAGGATAATCCGATGATAGAGCAATCTGTGGACAACACATCTGTCAGACTTATTCATTTTAAAGAAAAATACAAAGAGGCTTTTTCATGAATAAGAATCAAAAATGATTGTCAGATATCAGGGAAATTTACAGTTGTTGACAACACTTGAAATCTTGCAATTGACTGTAAAGCACAGAGTAAATGTGTGTATTAAATCTTCAATCTTGACATTCTACGCCACTTTTTTTAACTTTACATTAGGGCCCGTGATATCCAACAAGTTACAATGATAAAATATTATTAATTATATGGAGGAGCTGTTTTAAAATCTAATCTGGCTCCAGAGCTGGCAACTGTTTTCAATTTGTTGTAAAGATGAAGCCATGTACCAATAAACAAACTGCACATTCAGTTCATATTCAGTCAAAATTAGCTTTCTACATTATTGCTGGCCTTAGACTTAGACTAGCAAAACATCATTAATTCACCAACTTTAAGCAGTGTCCTGTGTAACTGAAATGGCTGCAATTCAGGTGTGGGTGCAATGTGACTGCTGAACGTACCATTGTGTCTAATCCCAGGGTTAGTAGCATCAGGAAGAAAATTATAGCCCAAAATGGAGATAAAGGAAGCCTAGTCAATGCTTCAGGATACACCACAAATGCAATGCCAGGACCTGGAATATATGAGTAATCATACATCTATAACATACAACAGCAACTTGCAATTAAAACAAACACGATTAGAAGGTTTAAAAAAGCAAAGGATGAAAAGAAATCAATGCCATTAATGTCCTGTTCCTGGATATTGAAACCTGCTGTTTCATATTACAAATTGCATGTCAACAATCATCTAAAATGAGAGAACTTTATTATCTTCTCTCATTATAGATGAGAGAACTGACACCTAAAATAGTAAAATCTCACCTACATGGAAATAATTGCTGAACTTTGTCTTAATTTAATTTAAATATTTAGAAAGTGGCAATTTGGGACAGTTCAAAATGAAATTGCCTTTTTTCACAGTTGATCTGCAATAATACTCAGGCCATTAAAATGTATTTTCTGTGTATTTCTGTGTTTTCTGCGCAGTTAATCGGGGTATAACTCAGCCACAGAAAATAGGCTGCTATTAAATTATTATCGTAGTTACATGAAGCAGTAACTAGGGCCTCATTTGCTCTGTGAACGTTATATTGGGGCATCCATCTGGTTAGCAGCATTAGTTTTACTGACTAATCATTGAGCAAATCACACATGCCTCAATTGATCAGTGCTGACGTGTTTGTTATCAACTGAAATCCACCTGCTCATTAAGCTTGAATGGCAGTCCTAACGTTAAAAATTCAAATCTAACACAAGGTTTACTGATGAAGATTTGCAGGTCAGGGTGTTTGATAAATTCAGGCTATATCTGCATATATTTTTCAAATCAATTGTCAGTGGATAACCTGTAACAGAACAAAAGATGATGGCTAACCATTTCTAAACTGTTCAAATGAAGAACCTAATTGAGTGGAACGTACCCGAATACAAACACAGCAAATTCAGTCAACGGGCTTCCTAGTTATCTGATAAGTCTTAACAAGCTTTGTAAACCAGAATACTCACAGAATGAATGGATTATTGATATTTAGGTGCGCAAATAGTTTACAGTACCTTTCTCATCATCAACAAGCTTCAAATGAAATAATGTGTTTAATCTGGGTGAAGCATTTAAAGAAAATGGGTTCCATTGTATCTTGATGGCTCGGTTGTGAATTCTCCATGTGAACAAGAGTGGGCCATGTACACTAGGAAGATAATAGGTGCAATCCCGGGTTTGTGTTGATTATTTCATCTCAATAATTGAGATGTCTAGTCTCCGGGCTTTAGAGAGGGAAAGTTCAGTGAGACTTGATCTCTGCTGAAAAGTATTTTAATGTGGAATTCTTTTGGGGAGGACGAGATTAGGTTCAGCATTGGTCAAGTATTGAATCTGGGATCTTGTTTGTAAAGCTCAGTTTGACTCCAGGCAATGGATTTGCTGATTGTGCAATTTTGTCAAGCACAAATCACCTATTGAAGGAAAGCAAGTGGGCATTTTAATATCAGAACTCGCTTTGAAATGTGGCTTTGTGCTGAACTCGCTCTAGCTTGCTTGATTGCCCGAAGAAATTAACTTAAGGAATTGTTTATCTGTAAATATCACCGGTAATCATATTAATAATAATCCTTAGGTATTGACAGAATTAGCAAATTCCAGAGATTAGTCAATTAGTTCCCGATTTGTACTTTGAAAATCACAGAGCGTGGTACGTGCGTTTGAAACAATCTGAAAGGGTACTGAGGCAAAAAGATGAACAATGACATGTGTTAAATAATCTATAATAAATAGTAATAATAAGCCTAGTATTCGATGTAGTGCCTTATTACGTCGTTGAGACGTCTCAAAGCGCTTCACAGAATATATTGTGAAGGTGGTTTGGAACGTGTGTACTTTATGGGCAAAATCTGCCATTATTGTGTACCTTACTGTGACTCTGCAAAACAATACGCCATGAAGCACACTCAGTCGGCTTTAAAGTTACCTTCATCCGCAACCTCAGTGATGGGAACTTTGAGTTCCTTCGCCATGAATCCGATGACAGAGAAGATGACGAAGCCTGCGAAGATGCTGGTGGCACTGTTAGCGCATGACACAATTAGCGTGTCCCTAAGAGGGAGGCAGAGACAAGCAGCAGTCAGCAAGAGGGAGCTACCTGCAGGCAATACGGCGTTACTGGAAGCCGCAACCTACAGAGTGAGGAGAAAGGGATCAGTTCCTGCTTTACCTGTATATATTATTGTGGAATTTGTTGTATGAGGAGAGTGTTATCAATCCTCCCCAGGCTGCCGACAGCGAAAAGAAAATCTGAGTTGCAGCGTCCTTCCACACCTAATGGTAACATATATAGACAAAACTGTGTGATTTTTCTAATAATTCTAAAAAAAAATTTAAATAAAAGTTTCTGGAGTACATCACTGGGATATAAATAAAATGTGATCCTGATTAAGCACAACTGTTCTGCCACGTGTTCTGCCACTATTAGAACACCCTCACAATAATCTTCATTAAGATATCGATATTCATAATGCATAATCCTTGTATTTGATAGAGTACCTTTAACGTCAAAACGTCTCAAAGCACTTTACAGGCAATTACTGTCAATTGTAGTGACTGTTTCAATTATATGTACACCCAGTTGTTATAGAATGGGTCAGAGCAGCATCCAAAAGATTGTGAATTGTATTCCAATAGATGGCACTGTTGCCCTGTTAGCTAACCAATCATACATATGCTAAGTATTTTTCAACACCTACTGAAACAAAATACTTCCAGTGCCCTATTAATGTGATGGTTATGAAGACCCTCTGGCTGCTGGATGCAGACACAAATACACGTTGACTAGCGCCCACAATTAAATAAAACCCTTGATAAACATTGCTTCTGTTATCCACATTGTTACATCCACTGTCAATTCTACCTTCTTTGTAAGCATTCTCAAAGACACATGAAACTACAGCGTTTAGACCTCTCGCAATGTTTCCACAGAAACTTTTGCAAACAATGAATGCATCTTTATCACTTGAAAATCAATGTTAAAGATAACTCTTATGGGGATTGATGCAATTTGTTTAGAAATTATGTGAATGACCCTCTTTAAATCTCTATTGAGTTTAATTGTGGACATGGAATGTATGTATGTATGTAATAAAATTATTATTAAAATTAATTACCTTTTTGTTCATTTTTACAATGGAAAATCCCATTATAATCAAGTAATAATATTATACCCAATCCATTAAAAGATTACTATTTAACTTCATTGGGTCTAATTTATGGCGTGTGTTAACACATGTTTAAAGGGGAATAAAGGGGAATGCAGTTCTCCTCACATCAGAATTACAACCTGCAATTCCTTCTTTACACATGGTTTTACAACCTACAAATTAGAGCAACATCTACAAAACATTTACAAGTAAATCGTGAAACAACTGAAAAATTAAAGATTTTATTCTTTCTCAATTAAAAAGATGAAGAATTGGGGTAAGACATGGAGGGTTATTATTGCCCACAGAATTGTATGTCAGTGTGAATCAGTACAGAAAGAAGGTCCAGAAAAGTGAAACATCCAATGCATTCGGACAGAAGCACCACAGGCTGAAATGAGATGAGGCCACACGATCTGAAGTGATGGTCATATCAGCACTAATAAGCACACATAATAATTGTACTAAACATTCAGCTTGTTCATTCCAATGATGAATTGCTCATGTTAAGCCCTTTTGACAGGGAATACACAAAATTTTCATTCAAAGGGGGAATTTACAGCCACTTCTTTCCAAACAGAAAGAATGATTGACATATTTGAAACATTGCACAGATTTTTGCAGTAAAAAAAACTGCAGATAAACTGCTCCAAAGGAAATGGCGTGTGGTGGTAACAGTGGTGTAAAGTCTCCTTGTCCAAACCTCAATCTGCAACATATCATTTAGGATCAAACTTTGGTTAAAACATGCATTCCTACCTCCCAGATTCTAGATAATTAACCACAGTACAATACTTTATAGTCTCAACTAACTGGCCCACCTTGGCATCCTTAAGCTTTTCCCAGTTTGGCGTAATGAAGTACCACATCCCATCTCCAGCTCCTGGCAGAGTGACCCCTCGGATCAGGAGAATGACCAGGACAACGTAAGGAAAAGTGGCTGTAAAGTAGACAACCTGCAAATAAAAAGGAGGAAATTACATTCAGTTATTTACCATTGGCTGCATCTGTAAACTTTTTTTTAAAAATTAATAGAACATTAAAGCATTAATGAAAACACAGTAAGACCCACTTTCCCCGATGATTTGATTCCTTTGGCCAGACATAAGTAAACAATTATCCAGGCCAGTAACAGAGTGAACGCCAACTGCCACCTGATTTCCCCTGGATGTTCAATCCCTGCAGAAATCTTCAACACATGGTATCTGTGAAGACACAATAAAATTTGTGAAGACACTGTATTGTTTAAAAATTAAGGCTGCAATTTATATCTTTTATATTTTTCAGAATAAAGCTGTACTTTGGAAATGTTTAAACTACAAAAATATGGTTGCAATAAACACTTTACAGTTATGTCATTAAGGGCAAAATTTCTCTGGCTAAGTGTAACAATGTTGATCATGTTCACCTATTTATGCCATTTTACCTTCAAAACTAGAAATTATCACAGTTTTTATAAAGGCAAGTTTAAAAGTTCCTCTGATATACTGTAATTCGTAGGTTCTATACATTTCAGAGATTGAGAATCAATTCAGTTATCAGAATGGAATAAGGCAAACAGGTGGGAACATTGGGTAAAGATAGGACATTCAGCCCATTCAGCATCAATACTTCGGTTCTGATCACTCCGACCATCTTCGGCTGAACAGATAGCTCTTACGTGGAGCCATCACAATGGCCAAAGAGCGTTGTTCTGTGCTGAAACATTCTACAATTCTACATATAGTGAATCTTACAGCAAGTTAACAATTTACGTGTCAATTAATGGTCTTACTTGAAATATTCTTCACTGCCACTGACGAGGGTTTTGTTTACGGGCTTGGTGTAATTGACCATGGTAAGGTTAGGAAAGGAAGACACACAAAACGTTGAGTTTTTAATCTGCAAATGATGGTTAGTCTCTCCAATTATGCAAGATTCTGTTGGGACAAGAAAAATCCAATTAACAATTAAATGACTGTGAACCTTTTTTGCCAACAACATGATTGAATCTTGCACATGTTTCCAATCTGTACTTCAAACTTTCAGTCAGGTTGGTGAAACTCTGACATGGTATGCAAGAAAGGTTTGAAATTGAAGAGAAAACAATGCATAATACCCAAGAAGAGATATTAAATAGAAAGCGATTGAGTGAAAGCTAACAGTTTATATTTAATACAAGACTTGTCCAATTTAATCTCACTTTTGTTTTCTTGTCTTAAGTACGCTGACAGAAATATAAAGTAATTGTGAGTCAAGGTGCCTCAAATCATTCTCATTATCTATTGTTTATTTACAACCAGCTTTGAAAGGCAACAACAGACTAGCACGACTTAAAAATGAGCCAAACAGTTCAGTGGCCAGCAGTAACTGCATCCCAGGTTACCCTGACAATGCCTCAACGTCTCAAGGTTCACAATAAGACAAATAAGATGTATTATGTTGTGCTTTTTCTGGAACCCTTCAGGCTTATACCCAGGACGCAAAATGCTAGTTTAAGGCACTGTGTCAGTTAGTTATTCCAATAAAAGGCACAGCTGCCCAACTTTATAGACACCAGGGGACTCCACAGGGCAGTAATCTGGACAGTTGTGTCTTTTATATGAAAAAATAAAATATCCCAGTGCACTGAAGAGTAGGTTCAGGCAATGGTTAGTTACCCTTTGCAAGCATGTACTTGTCTCTGCAATCTGGAGTGTTCCAGGGGTTTCCACACGAAGACCAGGGAAGTGTGGACACACAGGAAGCAAAAAGGTAGAAAAGAGTGTAGCAGATTATGATGTTGTAGTAAACAGCAATCAGGACCGAGATGATTAACATGGCAATGCCACATCCTGTCGACAGAGTAAGAAATGGATCAGTTTAAAAAAGTGCAACATAACATTTTTGTTTAAAACCAGAGTCCAATCGATTAGTCTTAATGTTGTACCTTGCAGGGCTGGGATAGCTTTCCACACTGATATTGGTCCCTGGCTGGCAAATTGACCAAGAGCTGTTTCAAGCAAAAATATTGGGACTCCGGCAAGAGCCAACATCATCAGGTAGGGGATCAAAAAGGCACCTAAGAAATAAACAATGAGTACATGGAGCGGTTATTACAGGATATTACATATAATACATTATACCACAGTCACGGGAATGTCAGACTATTCTATAGAAAGGTCACGAAATAATACAAAAGGTGATTTCACCAATAAATTGCAATATTCTGCTTCACGTGGCAAAAAAAAAAGGATGATTTCGAGAGTTGTGAGGATCGCCAGCTCCGAAAGTTAAATTAGATTTTTTTAACAAATATATATCTATATATATACAACTGAAAGTGCTGAAAGTGAGTCGGGGGCGTGAACTCGATAAGACTTGAGGTGCAACAAAAAAAAATCTGAGCAGGAACAGTGTTGGTGCATTCCTGTAGATCCAGGAACAGGCACTGGAGGGCACGACAGTCACTCGGGGAACTCTCCAGACTTCACCACCAAAGTCAAACAAATTCCTTCCGTCGTTGCCAATTGAAAGAAAATCCCTCGAAACACCAGTCGATCGCCTGACCCCAGTCAATATCTTCAACACATCCGTCATGTCAGCCTTCCTGTCAACAGGCTGACCCCTAAAAATAGTTAATGATCTTCTTTATTGACTCACTGCAGCCCAGCAGTTGCGTTGGCTCTGACTCGTGAAGTCTAGTGATCCAGAATTCTGTTCCACTTGAAGTGGTTTTTTTATGCAATTCATTGCACTCACACTGCCAACTGACATCTAAAATGTTCCCCATCACCGGTGTCGGGCACACGACACGACAGGAGATTCAAACGGAATTCAAACGAGGAGAAAAAGATGCTCTCGTTCAAATCTCCCACGATTGCCACTATTTGTAAAGTGATGGGATACCAAGGAACTCCCTTCCTGGGATCAAGCTATTGCTTTGTTTGGATGTTCCAGACTGTGAAACTGAGCTGTGGTTTTCGTATCCATTTTTTTAAAAAAAAAAACATGGTTATAGAAATGGTACTTCAGACAAATCACAGCATCTCGCGAACTGGAAACGTAACTGGTATAACTATGTCCGTATTTTTTTTTGGAGAAAAACGCGTTATTCGTGATCTTAAGAGGAATCCACATCCCTCGAGGGCCACCTCGAAGGCTTCGGTGCGCCGTGAACATCTTAGACCATAATTTGAAAGGGAGGAAGCGAGCGGACTTCTCTGGGAGTGTTAATGATGGAGAAGGACAGCAGGAGAAGCATTGAAAGAAAACGCCACTGGCACCGACACACCGGTGAGGGGAGCTCTCCACCCGCGTGTGTGTGTGTGTGTGTGTGTGTGTGTGTGTGAGTGTGAGTTGTGCAGAGATGGGATGGAGAACTGCTGTCCAAGTGGTGGGTGGGTGGGGGAGGTGGTCAGCGATGGTCACCCTTCATGGGCGTAAAAAATTAAAGCATCAGAGAGGAAATGGCAGTGCCATCGGATGTCCTAACTTGACGCCCTCTGTTGTTGGCATTGATGCTGTAACCAACTCCTGGGGCTGAGCTGTGCGTGGCTGTGGGGGGGAAAAAAACTCACATTGGGACACTCAAAAATTGTTACTCTTTTGGAGATGAACTCGGGGGGGGTTCTGCCCTGACCCGAGTAAGCACTGCAAACACAGGGCAAATTCGGCTCTATTTTATATGTTGCTCTTTCGTTTCGATTTGTTTTTATTTGAATTTTGATAATCATACATGACCAGTGTCTCTGTGTGTGTGTGTGTGTGTGTGTGTGTGTGGGGGGGGGGGGGGGGGTTACAGTTCCAGGATCTCTTCCATCACCCGCACGGTGATCAGACACACACATTTGCAGAGGATAGAAAAACCAGAGATCGCTAGGAAAGCCTACACAAAAATCCCTTCCTAAATGCGGCTTTAGCAGAATACAAAACACAGCAATGAGAATAACCTCCGGGTGATCGGATTTGTAACTGATGCCGGATTATTATTTGGTGGTAAACAGGAGCTGCTAATGATGCGCAGAGGGTTAACAGATTAGCAGCAATCGCTAAAGATCACAAACCCCATGTATTGGGCAATAAATGCGTCCGCGTGTTCACCAATGGAATATATCAGCACTATTCCACACTCGAGTGATCAGAATAATCGCCAGTTTCAAAAAAATTTGGCCGTCAAAATCCGCAGATACTCTCAGAGATTCGTAACCTCGTGTTGAGTACCGCATAATTAGATTGCAGTGATGTGACCTTAATTCTCTTAACCTGCGGTAAGTTGTATAATAGGACCTGTGCGAAGCCACGCATCACGAAGCATATAAAGAGAGGAAACTGATAGAAAATGTGCAAACAATTTAAACCGCCCGCGTCATTTCGGTGTATTTTCTGGGCAAATATAATCCGTCCTCCGAGTAAAGGAATGCGCGTGGAAATCGGTCACACGTTTCCTTTACACACAAAAAAATACAACCTGTCAACCTGTGAATACTGCGAACCGAACGTTGCGTTTGCCATTTGATGTTTATGTTGCATTGTAATCCGATACGTTAGGATATGAGGACATTTCTCACAAAAATAAATACTTATGAATTTAAATTGTGAATTTAAAACGATCTTATCATTGAGTGCAGGTGGAGTATGAAAATTGTACATATTGGATTTAGAATGGGCTGCACTGGTTACATATTAGCTCCACGAATTGCGTATTACATTGCACTTGTTTCCATTTAAAACATTTGCCAGATTGCTGGCGGAAGAAGTGATTCTAATTTGTTTTGAAATATGTCTTACCCATGACCAAAACGCAATGGGTAAATGCACTCAATATGGATCAACATGTTTGCTGTGTCGGTGTACAGCTCCCTACTGCCGGATAACAAACGACGTTGCCCCCAACCAATGAGCTAAAACACTACATGTTCTGAGACATTGCATCTCATTAATTCTATTTCAAACCTCGTACAGGTATCTGAAATAAAAAAAGACGGAGACCCTTTCTCCTCCTCCACCACAGCCCAATCCCCTACCACCACATACACACACACACACACACATTATGCACAAAAAAAGTTATGTATAAAAATGCTTAAAGATGAATTCATTTGCATGGAATTCAGGGGAAAAAGCATTAAATACAAACAACGCGTGTCGGTATAGATTTTTTTTTTTTTGGCGTGTTTCTTTTTTAATAAAAAAAGAGGAGGAAATGTGTTATGATAGCCGGAACGTACGACTTTATGTACAAGATAACTGATCCAATACTGAGCTGGTTCTGGTTGCAGCCTGGTTCAGTATTGAAGGACATTGAACCCTTTTCATTGCTGCCTCCTTGTGTTACATAATAATAATCTCACTCTGCACCAAATGAGTGCCTCCCAGTCGTGTCAGCATTGCGCGTTCACGGCTGAAAGTTGCGGAATCGTGAGAAGGGAAAAATAGTTCACAGCATCGCTCGTACCGACAAATGAGCGCTCCCAAAGATGCGGTGTGGTTTACCGACGGCGCATGTGAAAGAAGAGGGAAAAAAAGCACAGAAATCGCCAGGAAAGTATAGCCGATTACAACTGCACTGCCTCAAGGCCGTTTTGTACACATTGGGGACACCCAATGGATCTTGTCTTGGCTTCATCGAACTCACTTCTATGTCTGCAGTGAAGCCAATCGACACCAGGCAACCTCAGCAAATGATCAAGACTGCAACTGGAACCAAGTCAGTAGATGTGGACTTGGAACAGGGTCTTGTTGAAAGGTTGCAACGCGTTGCCTTGGGGAAGGGTAAAACCTTGCCCTGTTACGCATAGTTGGTGCTGAACACGAAATGGTCAGTTACTATTTCATTTCAGTGAGGATTGTTGGTCTCGGTCAGCGTGCGTTGTGTGTGATGGAAAATGGATTAATCGTTGATGGATGTGATTACCACAGTGTCAGACTGCGCGACTTTGTTCCCAACACCTACTGTGTGTGAATCGTGGCACAAGTCAACAGCTCAAACTGAGACACCCAGAGCAGCGCTCGCAGTTACATGTGTGTCCATCGACAAAGCTCGTCAGTCATTTGCAATTCCCCCAACACTTTCATTCTTTCAGTCTGTGAATTTGCATCAAATTAAACAAAATCATGGCACAAAACTGATGGGAGTGTTTTTTTAAAAAAAAAGAAACATGTGGCTAATGTAATACTGAACAATTTTTAATATGTGTCTTTTTGATGTAGAAAGCGGGACAGGAATCTATTCCCTATGAGATACTCAAGGCTCCATTATTAACCGGTGACTAATAACAATGAGGACATATAACGACAGCAAAGATCCCCTTAATTGATGACATAAACGGTACTGAATCTAAAGTTGCTGACTGAAATGCCATTTTCTTAAGTAAAATGTAGGAAAATTAGCAGAAAGTCAAATCAATACAATATAAACACAAATGTATACATTGTTACTAGTTGGACAACAGAACGGATGATGAACATATCGAAAATCGGATTATTCTCCCAATTGGAACACGATCGGACAATAATTCGAATATACCGCATTAAAGGGAATTGGACGAGAATAGTAAATCATACACTGTATGAATGCTGTGTGGAAGGCTCTCTTTAGAAAGGCTATGCGTCTAAATGTTTAACACAATCCTCCCATAAAGCACCGTGTTTCTTAAAATCGATTAAAATAGAGAAATCACGCGTCCCAAACCCCGAAACAAAACGCTACCGGTAAAAAAAAAAACCTGAAACAACAAAGTAATTTAATTAACCACGACTTTTTGTGAAGAAACGTAGGTTTAAATTCATGACATTAACTGTAAAATCAATTTAATATATTTTTCAGACATTTGATGCATATATAATATATTTATATCTCTATGGGGTCTGGGACGGTTGCTTATTGAATGCACAGTGCCACTACGCTATCAAGACTGCTTTCTGTTTGCTGTAGGACAACTGATATTGCGCAGAAGAAAAACAAATGTGGAAGTGAAAAATGTCACACTGTGCTGAATTATGCCGTGTTCTCGCTTTCTGTGTGTTGTGCATTTCTTTTCCATACCCAGACTGCAGACTTGCAACTTTTCCAGAAATGCAAATATGCTTATGATTGCGAACTTTACCGCCCCCCCCCCCCCCCCCCCTCTCCCTTAGGATATCTTTTCACCGCAATAGTCCATTTTACTGATGGAGCCGGTGACTAATAATCCGCAGTTTGATAATGTAACGCAAAATGGCCTTGGGTGGCCTTGAATAGGCAGAACGTGACTATTTCTACGACCTGACTTTGGAGAGGGAAGAGACAATGATCTCCAAACTGCGCCAAGTTTGCTCGTGATGGAATTCCTTCGGTTCCAGCGCATTTGGGTCCCGTGTTGTGGTTTCATTCTCACGCTTCAGTTTACAGTGCGTATTTTTTTTTCAACAGTCCGCGTGTGTGTGTGTGTGTGTGCGGCTCACTGCAGGTGTACACATTACTATGCAATTCCACACGCCGCCGAAATCAATAGAACAGCAGTGCCCAAGTCACAGAGAAAGTTTAGGCGTATTTTGACGCTGTATAAAACGCATATTGATCCCGAAGTTGTGCACATTGGTTTAGGTCTCTCACACCCACTCTTGCTTACATGTGTCCTGATAGTAGTATCCCGATGGTTTCTCAAAAGGACAATCACTGAATGCATTGATGAACACCAGGTTGTACTGTTTCATCCAACATATAATTAATTCTAACTCGATACCAGACACGCTATCGTGTAAGTTTGTTCATGATTAAGTCGAACGAATGAAATTCTTATGCTCCACTGTTAAGAACTTCATCGCCTAAAGTGTAAAGAAACGCGTGTATTAGGTTTACCGGACACCGATTTCGCACGGAGTTATTTCTATATATGTTTTGGTTAACTTTGCCACAAAAAAAAGTTGAAAAATAAATTTAGTATAAAGTATTCCTCGAGACATGTACTTAACATGTCAATGGAGTACTTCATAACCATTCCTTTAGGTGAAATACGTTGACTTTATTTTGTCTTTGTTTAAAATTTGATTTATGGCTCAGTGTCTTTTTTTTCCGAATTGTATATACAGAGATGAATGTACGTGCATTAATGGGAAAAGGCACGTAGATAAATCTGTAGAAAATCATACATACATGCACTTAGTGCATCCAGTTTGGTGCAGGCAATTCCTGCTACTTCTTATACTTCAAATGTTCCCTTTAAGCATCGATAACCTGATCGGCAGAAGTCACTTAAATGAGCTCTGTATAGTTCTCAATTATTTCAGCCGGTTTCCGTGCACAAGGAATCCCTCAAACATTCACTCCGCTCATATTTCCCATCACTTCCCGAAGACCAGGAGGATATATACGTTTATTGAAGTACAAGTTCCCTAAATTGGCTTTACGCAATTTAAGAGCGATTGCACCTGTTCGCCAAAATCTCACCACAATACCAAAAAAAACGGTCTGCCTGCAATAAGAGGGAATGTTGCTTACCTGCAGATACACCCACACACTTCACAAACACTTTGTAAAGCGCTCTGGTACGCACATAAGTAATCTCTGTTCAGCAAATCAACCTCGGTGTGGTCTAATTTCACTCGCTTAACTCCAAATGCTTCCTTCTTTCATGACCGGTCTGGCAGACCTGCCAGAGGGTATCTACCGGGGGAACTTTCACTGATAGCTGCTGTTACTCGGTCAATGCAGCGGAGACTATGAGAGATCAGGGATTGTCGAGTTTCACCCTCCTCGGGGTTGGCTGCTCAATGAACCGTGAAACCGTAGTCTGTTCTCACGGTCTCCGTCTCTGAGTTTAACTGAATCTCCCACCAAGTCTATCTTTTAGTATCAGGGTTTTTCCTTTCACATTTTCTTCCTGAATTCTATCAATTTTATTCTCCATTTAAAACTCAAAAAAAGTGTGTGTGTGTGTGTGTGTGTGGGGGGGGGGGGGGGGGGGGGGGGGCTGGAGGTGTGTGGGGGGGAGAACGGCAGAAAAAACAGGTTGTCACAGAATTACATTTATTTTCGCCTTTTAAAGCTGTTAATTTCGCTTCTCTCTTACGCACTTGAGGATAAGTTCTGCCTTACTTTCCAAGGTTTGGGGGGAATCGCTCCATTATTATCGGTTTACCGCTTTATCCCACTCTTTACAGTCTCTGTACTCTCTATCCCGGGTCTATCCACCTTTCTGGTTGTGTTAAGTTTATCATTGAATTCCTTACTTGGCCCCAGTTTAATTCAGCTTAATGTCAATGCAGCATTTTGAGGTCTTACCTCCACCGTTCTGAAATGCCAAGTATGGAAACCTCCAAACATTCCCCAGTCCCACTGCATAACCCACCATGGACAAAATAAAGTCCATCTTCCTCGACCAGTTTCCTCTGGCCTTATTCTCATCTCCTTGATCTTCCTAAAGTTGGCAAAGAAGACAAAACGTTAACAATGTTACCTCCCTGTCCAGAAATTAGAATGATTAGTATTGTGCTCTTTATTTATTTATGTATTTATTTACTTGTGTATTTATTTATTTTTGTTTAGAAAAAAAACGCCAAATATATTTCATAAATTAATCAATGAAAAATCGCTAACGCTCTTCCAGGGCGGGAAGACGCTTCCGAAAACGAAATTTTCCACAATGAGTTTCGGATTTCATGTGGAATCAACAATCGTGACATTCAAATACTCACTCCCGCTTTTAAGCACGAGTTTCCACAGAAATTCAACACGCGAATAAGTCTCTATGTTAAGTTTTCATAACCCCACCACCCTACACACATGCGTGCATACATACACACATGCACACGCACACACACCATGACACACTCATGCATGCACACACACACATGCACACACACACACACACACATGCATGCACACACACACACATGCATGCACACACACACATGCATGCACACACACACACACACATGCACGCACACACACACACACACACATGCATGCACACACACACTTAACTTTGGTTAATTTCATTACAGGACTGCCTTCTGGAAACACTTACCCCACTGGCCCCGACAGGCAGTACAGCAGCATTGCCATCTGTTCCCAGTACGACACTGCTCTGGCTTTTTGTGATCCAGCTGCTTTTAGCGTTGTTTTGCTCGGCTGTGCTTTTCCCAAAGTCCTGATTTGAGTCCGCCTCTGCGCCGGAGGGGGACATCACTTTGCAATAAACCGCGTTGGCGTGATCATTGCTCTCAGCCGAAGTATCCTTGTGAGGCAAAATCTCTATAGAATCCTGGCGCACGGCGGAATTGGGCTGTGCAGAGACATTCCTACAGATCCCAGCTTTGCCTGCCTCAAAGTCAATACATTTGGCTTCTTTGAGAGCGAGGCCTTTCTCCTCTGTGGTCGGGGGCTTGGACATTGGGGACTGCTGTGCTTCTGAGGGTGGATGCGATTCGGTGGCAACATTACTTCTGGTTACACCAACACCTTCTGCTCTAACCATCGTCTGCGCCGGGGTAACAACCTCGGGACTGTTGACAATTTGCTTGGTCCTACCTTTCTGATCGGTGAAATCCTGTGAAGTGTCAAAATAGAATTTAAAAACCGTTCCTCTCTCTTTTTGAGAAAAATTAGATATTTTTTTCAAACAAATGACACGCAACTTATATATTTTTAAACTGATTTAAGGGTAAAATAATACATATAAATATATACTGTTTGGATGCGACATTCTCAATTTGGAGTGCTTTGTAGGTACATTTGGGTCACAACTAAAAATCTCCCACCGAATGAATTGCAGGCGCCGGGTTGTATAATGTGAAGCGCTTTGCCATCTGCAGGGCTACAAACATACCATGTTGGCTTTCCGCTCACGGATTGAGGGAAGCTCGTTCCTCTCTTCCACAATTACGATACGATTCTTTAATTTAACGCCCCATTTGCTCGCTGTCACTCAGCCTCCTGCCCGCGATATTTCTTTGGGAATGCACTCTGTGCGCTCTGCTCTGCTCTCCACTGCCCAGGGCGCCAATACCCAACTTCTACATATTTTTTTTAAAGTTGAGAATGTAAATGCTCGTAGCATTACGAAGGAATGATCATTGGTGTTTCCCACACTATGAGTCGACTCAGCCATGATTTTATACTTTTTGACAATACGAGTCGGGTTTACAATAATAATAATCATCATCATCATCAGCATTGCATTTGATACAGCGCCTTACGTTGTCCAAATTAGGGTTGGGTTGAAATAATTATCTGAATCACGAAACCACGTTAAAATCTCCAAATCAATAATCGTTGTGTGTATTTCTTTAAAAAAAATAGATAGATATATTTAAGAAAAACCCAATTCTCTTTGAGCGCTGCCTATTGATGATACCTGCGAGAAATATGGGCGCTGTGGCTTCCAACAGTATTGGATTTCGGGTTCAGCACCGCGGACAGTTCCGTCCGAAAAGACTAATAATATACGATTGAACCCTGACATTTTCACTAAAAATTTGTAATTAAAAACTTTAAAGCCTTTTTTTCACCCCCCACCCCCACCCCTACACCCCCCAAAATTTTTAAAAAATCAGAATCCTTTGGATACCCGCAATCACAAAAAAACAAGAGAGAGAGAGAGAGAGAGAGAGAGAGAAATCACTCACCATGTTTCGCAGTGCAACAGATTTGGAGAAGGGGGGAAAAAAAAATACTGTGAAGGAAACGCCACTGAGGACTGGCTTCAGCGCAGCTCAGAGCCAACGCTTTCTATACGTTCCTGTGCAGATTGGGTTTGCGTCAGTGAATACCAAGGTGCCCTTCGCCTGACATTTTCTTGATAATAAGCGTTTGATAAATCATTACCGCCCGGATTCTGATTCTAAACATACAACAAAAGGAGCAAACGTTAGCGATCTGTCACTCACAGACGCCCCCAATCCTCACCCAAAGGGGTTGCGTGTTTGGAATGATTCATATTAGTCGATTAATACAGCGACCCGAAGGGTCCCGAGTATACGAATTCGTGACTCGCAATTGAGCACGTTACCGATAACGCCTTACGAAACAGCTGCTCACAGCGCATTTTACCAATATCGGTTTATTGCGATATATCGTGTCTGTAATTTTCCATTCGAAATATGAAACTTTAAAGTTAAAGAGAGTGTCAACGGGGCGGGGGAACGGGGGGGGGGGTGGAGGGGAGTGGGGGAATTTGGATAAGTTTAGTTTATTTCAATAAAGCAAAACTGGAGGTGCAAGCGATTTACGCCAGGATTGCCGGTAGGTGTCAGGTGTAAAAATAGTTCGGGCATTATCTCAGCTTCCAGTTAAAAATAACTACTTTCGTAGCTCGGAATCAGGGATAATAGCTTGTCACCCAAAATTTGGAAGGTTATTTTTAAAGGCCAGATTGATTCTCTGCCTAAATCGGTCAGCTTCTACCGTTTGATGATTCCCACCTCGTTAATGCGAGCTTCCCACTGACACTTGGCATTGTATAGAAAAAAAAATGAAAGCCAATTACACTTACACTTCGACCATTCACAGCCAAGTTAACTCTTGGACTGTAAGCCATTCGCCTCATATTTGTGGAGCTGTTTTGTTCCTCAAGTAAACCACCCATCCTAACCCCCAATCCCTGCTGGTTTCCATGCCATCCAATAACCTCCAGCTGCATGTGCCTGTCCAGTCCTTTCCTAAATGCACCCAATCACCTCTGCTCCAGTGATCAGAGTGGCAGATCATTGCATAACCTGACCACCTTCTTGGGAGTTCTTCCCCAACCTCTGCTTTCACTCCTCTCGTCCCAATCCGTGAATTCGTGCCCTCTTGTCCTCGAATCCATACCCCTCGCCCCCCACCACCACCATCACCGCTACACACACACATTATAGGGCAAACATCAAACGTTAATGGTTGACAGCTGAGAAGGTCACATTTTGAACTGTGAAATTATGAGCTTAATGTGTTCATTATATAGCGCGGCCATTAATTGAATAACCCCAGTGCCTCTCTCCCAGGGTTTGGCCAGCATGGAATATTTCATTTTGACTGGAGGGAGGAGCACGGGTTAAAGGATATGTTCCAAGGGTTTTGAACTTCTGCATCTACCCAACATTCACAAGGCCGTCGGAGCCCTCCATCAAAATCCCAAACGACCCTGTGAGCTTGTGTTTCAGCTTGAAACCATCTTCTCCGTTCACCTGAGCCCAACGGCGACATGCAATTCCCTGTAGCTCGGTTACGTTTGTGGGCGCCGATCGGTTTGCTGTGGATATTGTGTTTGCACAATATTGTGTTAAACTGCCCGCAGTTATCTCGGGTAAAGCGCCTTTCAGTCTCACAGTATGGCCCACTAGGGGGGACCAACTGTAAACATGGAATCATAGGAACAGGAGGAGGCCATTCAGACCCTCGAGCCAATGCTATAAGATCATGATTGATCTGTACCTCAGCTCCAATTACCCGTCCTTGCCCCATATCCCCGAATACCTTTACCTAACAACAGAGTTCATGTAAAGTTGGTCTCATGCTTTAAAAAATGCTTTGAACGCACCCCCCCCCCCCCCCTCCCCCCCCTACACACGTACACACACAAAAAAGGCAGAGCTATGCAGTACTGTGTGCAATACATACAAATTCAGGCCTTCGATTCGATGCCCGCAAAACATCAGCATTTGCAGATGCAGAATCCCAATGTTACTAATACTATTTCCTCGCAATTCTCCATGTGATTATTAGGAATGGCCACTCACTCCCCTCGCTCAAGATTTGAACGTAATCTTAAGAAGTTGCATTTCGATTTGCAAGGACAAGTCGCCCCCCCCCCTCTCCCAGCCTACCCACCCCCACCCTCCAAAAAAAAAAAAAGAAGAATTAAAGGACATCCTCTTTCCATTTGCTGCAGTGCGTATACTGTCATTACAATGAAATGCCATCAGATCACAAATAACGCAGTGACCTAGCGGACACACACAGCACGTTTGGAGATACTTCTCGAATATTTCTACCCCCCCCTCCTCCTCCCACGTCCTATTTGTGGCTGCAACCACGATTTGGAATTGCGTTCGGCTGCACCAAATATATTCAAACGCTTCGTTTTGCAATTGGTACCCAGTGATCAGTCCAAGCTCACACGCCCCACGCACTTAATTGCGTTGACTCAGAAGCATGTACACTTGCAGCAAACTATTTTGGGAAACCAATGGTTGCAGAGAAGGCATTTTCACCAACTGACATCAGCGTCCAGCGTGAGGCTGAGCGAAACCAACCGGCATTTTGCGGGCAGGTGTGCGACTTCCCAAGACGGGAGAATGAAAGCTGGGAACCGAAACTGAGAGATCATTCTGTCGCAACGATCGCCCCACGTTGAGCAGTTGTGCTAATCACCTCTCCACAGTGAAGCGGAACGGACTTCAGATCTGAACCCATCACTAACTCGCCGCTCCAGAGTGAATTAACAACCCTTACGGTCTTAATTACTTTGTCAAAGATGAATAACGGCAATTGATTTTGTCGGGAGTCGCTTTGTCCGTTGAGCTACTTAAAAATCAGACCCTGTCCAGGCCAGAGAGTCTAAAAAGGGACTGAAATCCTAGAGGTTTTCTGTGGGTAAACTTCCCTTTACTCTATCTTTACTGAAAGTGGGTTTAAGCAATAACAAATATCGAAAACGTTGGACAAATATGCTTTACCGCAAAAATGTTTCCTATGATTTCTTGCTCGCAGTTAAATGAATGTTCCACCACATACTTGGATCCGGTCACAATACAACCGAACAATTTCATCAACGTCACCATGTTATCAAACGTAAGGATTATTATTAAACAGAACCTGGCATTTCAAGCAAAATCTCGTGAACTTAGTACTTTATTATCAAGAGTCAGATATTCAAAAATGCTTAAACCCAACTCAATATGTCTCTGCTGCTCGCAAACTAAATTCACAATTTCCCTCAAATTTTAATTGCAGTTCATACAAAACAGGAGACTGATGTTGAGATACGAATATTTTGTCTTGTGAAAAGGGATGATATCCATGAACNAAAAATAACATTCCGGGTTGCTAGCTGGTAAGGTCAATTATTGACGAGCTGAATTGTATTCTGTATTAAGTCCCAATGTTTCACGAAACAAGGAATTATCATACGCTCTGTTTATTTCTGATGTTAAGTACTTGAACCTCCCTCCATTCATTCAAGGATGTAAATGATAGATGACAAAAGAGGATTAGATAGAGGCCCTTCAGCACATTTGATTTCATCAATACCCAACCTACCTTTTTGTTCAAAATAAGGGAAATGATGAAGATGGGATTGCAATGAAGCTTCCTTTGTCCCAAAACACGTCGTTTGAATTTCAAATAAGTATTTAAAACCCTATATTTATCTGTGAATTATATTTGAGGCATAAGCAATTATCTTTCTTTATTTTTGATTGTACAGTTGTGCTTTGCGATTTCACTGCACACTCAATCTGGTGAGATAAACACAGGTCTATTCGCTTCGTAAGGTTTGTGGTTACGAACCTTCTTTGGGTGGGGGGGTAGTAAGTTAATTACACAACTGCACATAAATTATTAGTACACGTGACAACACTAAAGTCAGTATGTTCAGGTCCTTATGATACATCCGTTATCCTAAATGATGTGGGGACAATTCAACCTCATTTATAATACCTATTTGCTTCGAGAAAATGTTTTCTTCGATGATGAGATGTGTATTAATTAAGTAACAGTGTACCATTCACCTGTCTATCACCGAACTAACACAGCCTCGCACGTGTCGATGGAGAGCTCAATCATTTGCCATTGTAAAGGTACCCAATAAAGTTGAGGATTTTCCCAATGTTATTGCAAAACTAGACATTAGACTCCCACTCTCTCGCCCCCGCTCCACCATAAAACAAATGCTTTCCAAATAGTACTTCGTGTGGGTGCATTCAGGGTAAGTTAAGGTGCAACTGTATGCTGAATGCATCTACATTCACGTTTATCTGCATAGTTTTTCCTCGAAGTTAATTTACGGATAAGTACCACTTTGCATTACATTTTGAAAAACATGTTATGAAATACAGACTGATTCGAAATATGGTCCGTTGTGTCGTCAAGAGGACTGAAATTAATTGCAATACGTGAAATCAGAATGACCCTCCTCAGTATTATTGAACTCCACTGTCATTAGATTTTCTTTTGTCTACGAGAATTAAAACATTTCGTATCGTACGGTGGTTTTAAGCGTAAAGGCAGAGGAATACGATTGAAAAGATCCTAAATGCATAAAACATAGAATTCAACAATTCCTGCCTCTATGGATCCACCATATTTAACACGTTATTGGTTATTCATCACTTTCCACTCAGGTTTATTAATCCAAACTTCAAAGACTGGATTGCAGCTGCCAAATGGGTTGAATATGATTGTTTTTCATAGCAATATATGATCAACTGAGAAAGCCAGAATTGCATGTCAGAACAAGAAAATTTCGCACAAGGCTGCGCTTTAAGATTCATCAATCCAAGTACCATCGCCCTCGACACTGATGGGAAAATACGTTCCCCACAAATTATCTCTCGTGATGTTCCTCATTTCAAAATATTGAAACCAGCTTTTTTTTTAAAAAAAAGAAAAAAAGCAATTGGCCTCAAGTTCGGTGCACCAAATCTTCGGAATAATCCACAGAAAATTACAGCGCCGAAACGGAATTTTGATCAGGT